ACATCTCGTAGAATGCAGTCACCATTCGGTCGAGAATTTTACACTCGAATAGTAAGATTTCAGCCGATTCAACAAGAATCAGCCGAAATTGCGTCCCTGTATGGCTAGCTTAAAGTGTTACTAAACCCAGGACCCTGCATTCACTGTATCTGGTCTCCCACAGTACATAGAACATGGAAATACAATTAATTTAGTAAATATACCCACATGGAAGAAAAATATATTTTAAAAAATTCTTCCCAAATATGTTGACATATATTTGAAATACTGCAATTGTGACCTTATTCAAAATATTTCAATATATTTCAAAATATATTTCAATATATATATATATATATATATATATATATATATATATATATATATATATACTGTATGTTGAAATGCTTTTTTATATATTACAAAATATATGAAAAATATTTTTAAAAATACATATTCATATATACTGTATGTCTTTAAAAATAAATTTCAGCTACATTTTTGGAATGCATTTACAGATATATTACAAAATATATGTTAAAATTACTTTTTTAATGTTAAAAAAAATTTGAAGAGTACATTTAAAAAATATATATTTTTAAAAATATTTTTCATATATTTTGTAATATATAAAATATTAATATATTGTATATATTGAATTGTAGTATTTCAAATATATGTCAATATATTTGGGGAGAATATTTTTAATATATATTTAAAAAATATTTTTCTTCCATGTGGGTAAACTGCAAAATAACTTTTCTCATCAGCAGTTACAGCAGGCTTGTGACTTCTATCAGTGTTCAGCAGAGCACTGGTTAAAGCTTGTAAGAGGAGTTTTCTTTCTGCTATAGGAGGATGCAGAACCCCTGACCTCTGTCTGGACAGTGCAGATTGGCCCTGTGATGATCACATGCACTCTTCCAGTAAAAACAAACCTCTCTCAATACACACCAAACTGAGCATGTGCAGAGTGTCTCCACACATGTCTTATCAGGAGATAAGAGGGGAACACTGGAAAAAGGGGAGGATCAGAGAAGTCAGGATCAAACATCATTTTTACACAGTGCAGAGGACTAACGCCTTAGGTTCCACAGTGAGTATAACAAGCATGCTTAACTGCATATACAGGGTGATTTTACTCTTGTGGGTTTTGTAACATTTTAATTTCGAGGCCATTGCAAAACAATTGTTTCCCTATTACATATATGTTCTCACATTGAAACTGTCACTGTACATTCTTGATTTACAACCATGTTCAGACCATGTACCTGATCGCCTATAAACAAATTTGACATTTATAAATCTGTTAAAGGCCTTCAGTTGGTAACCTTATGTTGAATAGAATTGCTGTACTATTTATTATGTTACAGCAATTGATTGTAGTGCACTTCTTTTGCATCATGACCCTAAAATTAAAAACAATGATGACCACAGTAAATCCTTCCTAAACAGAAGATATTTACATGACATTGCTTCCCTTTCAATCCTAAAAACAAGGATGCATTCATTAACGCTGGTTTACCACATAGATACAGCCTGATATAATTCCACACCGTATAACATTGTTTCAGGCTTAGTGATCATCAATGCAGCACATGGAAACCATGTCTTCTATGAATTATAAGGCTTGGGGACAAACAAATTTAATCAGATTATGGTTAGGTGGGCTTCAATTAACTGGTTCTGGAAGCATAGTTAGTCCAGGAGAAGATAAAAATCGTCTGTATGGCTCTACCCACTTGATTAAAGGAAGGAATAAATGACCTGTTTTTTTTGGACTGTGAGTAAAGCAATGCCATTTATATACCCTTATGTTATAAGTTCCCATTGTTTTTTGCTCTGGGTGGGAAAAGAGCTTTGTTTAAAGAAATCAGGAGTGCGTTGGTGTGGTACAACTTTTACTGGATGTATTTATCAATTAAATTCCTAATAGTAATTCAACCAATTCAAGTGGAATCGGTATGTTAAATACGTTTCACTACTCATCCAAGTAGGTTCTTTAGGTCTAATGAAAATAAGAATGTAAATGCTGGGGTGTCTTCCCAACACTCATAAGAACTTAGGAAGCTACTTGAATGAGTAGCAAAACATCTTCAACGTTACAGAACAGGTCCAGGTGAATGTAATAATCTGCTCTCAGGTATATCTTGAAATGGATAAATGAGTAACCTAACAGACACACAGGGGGTGTTCAAGTCAAACTGGGACTTTTAATTTTGCAGGTATACAAAGGGATGCTAGCATGGCGGTACTCCATGTAGTAGTAAGTGGCAAGTACTGATAGGCAGCGCACCTGTCATGGGCCAGTACAGAGACTGTTAATCATTATAACAGACGACGGTGTTAGTGTGTGTATGGAACAGCGTGTGGTGATGGAGTTTCTTGTGAATGAAGGCATAAAACAACCGAATATCTACAGAAGACTTCAAGCACAGTATGCTGATGAGATGTTCAGCTGCAATAAGACATTTGAATAGTGGAAACATTTCAAAGATGGCCGTACACCCATCAGTGATGATCCCGGCCATGGTAGTTCCCAGCCCACAGCAGTCATTCCATTTCCTGTGAACATTCAAGGCAGCAATTGATGCATAACCTGTTGTGAAATGGCACAACAGACAAATCTTTCTGTGGGAACAGTGAACTCAATGATGACAAAATGAAGCAGGCTGTCCTAGGATGGTTCAGGCATACTGAAAAATCTTTCCAAGCATTAGTTAATGCACATTCTGGTGTATAAATGTAGCAGGGGAGTATATAAAAAAAAATAAATGCCGTTTCCACTCCTTGAATTTTGTTCTTTTATTATATAAACTCAAAAGTCCTGGTTTGACTTGAACGCCCCTCAAATTTCAATTCCCATCCTTTTCATATCATAAGATGTATCCACAGAGGTTGGTCCCAAGAACCCAACATAAGATGCCTTGTCACAAGTTCCCTTAAATGATCATATTTTCCTCCCCTTCCTTTTTAAGGAACTCATCAAGCTTGTTTTCAGACAAACTTCCTCAGACAAAGCATTAAGGATGTTCTAACAGTAATGACAAAAATAAAAGAATATGTGGTATAAAAGGAAGCAATAATGAACATACTTGCCATGACGAATAAACATCCTTTAGTTGAGGGAAGCAATAAAAGAAGAATTTTTATAAATTACTTTTTATACATAGAAAAAGAATAATGGGATTTTTCCTGGTGCTCATTACATAGTTACATAGTTAGTCTGGCTGAAAAAAGACAAAAGTCCATCCAGTTCAACCATAATATTTCAGATGGATTTGCCCTCTTAGTGTACACATTCACATAGTAGACACAGAGACTCTTCTAGGGATGGGAATTTGCAGCTTCACTTTGGGGCTTATTTAATAACACTGGAGAGTGCAAACTAAGGTGCAACTCTGCATAGAAACCAATCAGTTTCCAGGTTTTATTAGCAAAGCTTAAAGCAGAGTTCCAGCAAAAAATAAATAAATAAAAGTCAGCAGCTACAAAAACTGTAGCTGCTGACTTTCAAAATACAGCCACTTACCTGTCCCTCGGTCCAGCAGTGTCCTCACATCTGCTGGTTTCACCAGCCGTCTTCTCTCCCTGGCGCCAGCATCTTTAGTGTGAGTACCTGCTTGTGACAGCTTGTGGCTTCACAGCCGGGTGCCCACTTCATATGGGCGAGAAATGCCTCCTTTGTGAATAGTCTTCTGTGACCTGTCACGTGTCCCAGAAGACTACTTGGAGAGAGGGGGGAGGATAACTTCCACTTCCAATCGCCTAGGTGATCGCAGCAGAAGTGGGAGTGGGTACCTGTCAAATTTGGGTACCCGCTCCCCAAAGGTGCCAATCCTTAATAGGGAGCGGGGGACAAAGCATTAATGCGGAACTTCCCTTTTTGGGTGGAGCTCCGCTTTAATTTAACAGGCAGAAGTTAGAAGCTGCTTGGCTACTATGCACAGCTGCACCAGATTCTGAGTGCTCTAGTTTTAGTAAATCTCCCCCTTTACATCTGTCTATGGGGGTGAGAGCAGAAGAGGTGTAATGTACTCTACAGTACTCCAACAATCTCAAATTCTAAGACTCCAGAATGACATTTATTTATGACAGTGAGTAGGAGCATGTACAGTATTTTCACAAAAAAAAATTTAAATAAACTCTTCCTAAATTTCTAGATATAAACAAGGAGGGAACATGTGAAAACTGGCCTACATGCCACTGCCATTCACCAGGGACATCTATAGAAGCTCTTCCGGTAACTTCCTGTCCACATTCGTGGGTAGTTTCTCCAGTTATTGGACAGGAATGTACTCCAGGCAAAGTTCACATCTGAGATATAGGTATGCAGAAAAGAAAAATCTCTTCATTAAGTGCTGTGAGTTGAACTGGATGTATCTTTTTTCAACTAGACTTACTATGTAACTATGACTTAGGCAACTATGCTTACTTTTTCTTGTACTTTTCCCCACAAATGTTCTTAAAGACCAATTGCTAGTTACATAAAAAAAAAAAAAAAAACGAGATAGTGCCCCACTGAGGTTAAAATACTTACCTTATCTAGGACACTGTCCTTCACAGACTCAACCGTCCAGTCATCCAGAATTGATTCTCTTCCAGACTGATTGATGCCCAGCATCATTCAACCCATTCTCTGCTAGCTAAGAGAAATAAGGACCTATACTCTCAGGGTATGTCGTCAAGGCACTCTGGGATCACAGAAGAATGCAGTAGGAAATGTGGCAGCATTCAGGACCCGCACCTTCAGAGAATTTAGTGGAAAAATAAGACCCATAACTTCACACTCCCAGACGGAAAAGGTTTTTTTTTAAGTATGTACACAAAGAAAATTTTAAAAATAGGCAGCAGGGGGTGCTTCAAATGGGAATTTTTACTCTATAATTACCATATAGTCCAACTTCTCAATAAATAAAATTTTCAACCATTCCAATGTATTTATTCCCTACTTACTCAACATCACGCTTGCGAATAGATTTTCCAGATGCCATGACTTCTGCCACTTTGGAAACTATTGGATCATAATTCATACTGGCTACAGCAATGACTTCATCATTTCTAGAAAATTAAGAAATACATACAAAACAGTCATGTTTAGTAGATGCATCTTAACAAGTTTTTTTTTCATGATTGTTTCATCACTGTGACCCATTGTAAATCCTAGGAATAGAAGGAAATAGATGAGCAGAAGACAGTCAGCTGGAACAGAATGTGTGAGGTCTTGCAGCTAACATGGGAAGAAATGTCAGACTTCAAGTTACATCTGACACCTGACACACAAGCTGTAGGTAAGCCATTTTGATAACTTAGGACGGAATATTCAGATTTGTGCTCAAATTCAGTCATGAACTGTTACCTCTAATGAAGTTGCATACTCTTTACTAGTCAAATATTAGCCTAGTGCTAGAGCAGTGGCACTAAGCACTATATGATCTCCAAGAAAGTGATTAGTGACTTAGGAGGTCCCCCAAAAAGCCGTTTACAGCTTCTGAGTGCTAGGAAGGGGGATACTAGGATTCTAGTGAACTTTGAAACCCACCCCTATTAAGCACTGCCCTGTTAGCTGCTATTTGTCCCCAAATCCTTGGGATTTGTAGGACTGTTGTCTGTCAGAGCTGTCTGCCTCTCATCTGTTGAGTAATACTACTACAGAAGAACAACAAATGTGGAAAAGAAGAGTTTTCCACAGCAAATAGTCAGGTTTCAGCATTTATTCACATGAATATGAAACAGTTGAATTACTAAAGGCAAATAGGCTGTTCACTTTTTCAGGGAGGTTTCCCTCAGCTTATTGAATGGGGTGAAGATCTCCTTTCCTCCATTATGTGCTAGCAAAAATATTTTTATATAAAATGTTAGTTACTTTGCATGTGATTGGGTATTATTCGGAAAGTACATTTTCACCACATACTAAGCTAAGGGAAAATTCCTTTGTGAAGTGAACATTTTTTTACAAAGTGAACAACCTATTTGCCTTTAGTAAATCAACCCCTAGGTGCCTGTTCTAGGGCTGTGATGGATTTAGTAAGATGCTATGCACACAATTGCTTTCAATTATTTTTACTTTTCTACATCTACTAGTATCTGGTAGTCTTCTGTTTCTATTTTTTAGACTCTCCAATCTTTAGAAACCAAAGGGTTATTGAGACACAGGTAAACCATTCCTGTTTCAGAACCCCTCTTAAGATACCTGCAGTAATAAAACAAAGTAGTCAAAATGTCATCCAGCCAGATTTTATTTTGACATAAATCAAATATCTGTTGTGCACTCAAGATTTTTGAAAGTTCGATTTACCAAAATAAACTGCTTTTCTGGTTAAAATGCAGACAGACAGCTAGAATTAGGTTTTATTATCATTATCTATTATGCTGTTCTTGGTTTTAAGGTTAATTATTTAAGTTGATGTATATTATTATTATTTATTATTATTATACAGTATTTATATAGCGCCGATAGTTCGCTCAGCGCTGTACATTACAAAGGGGGACAGAACATGTGACAGACATTTAATACTTGGAAACATTTTATTATTTATAATGTATAGACATTTAATACCTGAAAACATTTTAACTTAAATAACTAACCAAAAAAAAAGCGATTTCATGATTCTTACTTTAAATTATTGTACATTTTAACTGAAAAATATGCTCATCCTTACCTTCATAAGTGGTGCCTTATTCTATTTACCCAGCAGCAAACCCCTCCACTTAACTTTACTGTTTTTATTATCTAAGGTTACATATCGATAGATAAAAAACATACATAAAGAGGAGAGAAATTTTGCTCCATTTGATCATTCCTCAGGTAAATCTTATAAATAAATAAAAACAGGCAAATAGTGCTTTATATGTAAGAGGTACAAAAATTATCCCATTGTAATTACTTTATTTTATAGACTACAGCACATTTTTAATTTGTTACTAATATTTTGTGTGATTACAGTTACCCTTTCTACATGGGGTCCTATATGTAGAATATATCATCGCATATACATTTAGAAGCAGCAGTTTCCAATGGCATTCAAAGAAGCAATGCTAAGTTCAAGTTAAAAAAAAAAAAGGTAAAATATGATTGATTTCTATGGCCAACACTTCCACTTTCTATGTATTCTTTTTTGCCATAAAACACCCCTATATATATTTAGGTGTAATCCTTTAAACAGAAAATACAGGACTAGGTCTTTTTAAATAGAACATGTATCTCTTTTGTGTGAAAGACTGGTAATGTGAACAGTCTTTCAATGTCTACTTCCCCTGTATGGCCATCTTCAGTTTCAGTTATGCACAGAAGTAGTAGTAGTAAAAGTAGTAGTAGTAGTAGTAGTAGTAGTAGTAATAATAATAGTAGTGGTGTTCCTATTGTAGTCTAAAAAATATAGCAATTACATATTTAGCATGCATAAATGAGAGTAATAATTAAATGAAATATAAAACGTTATAATGTCACCTTCATGTTATAAGATCTCTGAAAGGATAAGTGTATAGAGATACCACGTAGAATAAAGGAAGATCCCAACTGAAGAGTCATTATTGAAATACTGGACAAAAGAGCTACTGCCTGAAAATGAATAATCCTAGAGTATTATTTTCTTTTTATAAAATGCACAACATTCCACAATTAAATTGGAATTGGCACAAACACCAGCTTGTGGGTAAAGGACCCACAAGAAAATAAGTCCCAAAGAGAACACTCTGTGGCTAAATACAATATCATGTGCAGCAACACAGCAAATAAATGATATTGTATTTAGCATACATCCAGGAGTCTCGAGTTTTCATAGCCCCTATTCAAGATATGCATAATCCAGTGTGAGTGGTAGGTGTGTCTGAGTGCCCGGGCGGGTGTTTTTATGATATGGCAACGTTGTCAATGTGTTTTATTCTTGTGTAGGGATACTTGTCAAATTGATATTTTGATAGTGTTCAATAAATATTTTTCTAAGCCGCAGATTTTTCTCTTTGGCACTTCCTTTCTTGTGGGTACTTTACCTACAAGCTGGTGTTTGTGCTATATATCTCCTTGGTCTTGAGGACACCACCTTTAAATTTTGGTGAGTCGGTCTAATTATCTACATAATACTATGGCAGTGGTTCCCGATTCTGGTTTTATTATTTTTGTATGGAATTGGAATTAACCTGTAACCTGTTTTAAAGTTTTTTACACTGTATCTACAAAAGGGATTACTAAGCCAGTGAGACTGAGAGGTGACAAAAGGTTGTCAGGCCCCCTAAAGTGTCTAGGTGAAATAAAAATAAACATATTAGATTCAGCTCTTCAAAATATATATGCTTTTTGCCATATTTTGTTTCTTGCTACTTCTGCCAGAAATCCAGTGAGTCTGTATTTTATATTGCATAACAAAAAATGTTAAATGTTCCCTCCAATAGCTATCTGTATTTTATGGCAATGATTTAAGAGGAAATATCAGTAAAACCGCCTTGCAACACTACTAAGCATTAAGTTAATCCTGCATAATTAATGAGTAGTGCCCCTATAAAATATATAATTATGCTTGCAAATTATGGGATTGATTTAACCACTTGCCCTCCAGAGGATTTACCTCCCTTCCTGGCCAGACCATTTTTTGCGATATGGTGCTGCGTTACTTCAACTGACAATTGCACGATCATGCAATGCCGTACATAAAATAAATTTATGTCCTTTTTTCCCACAAATAGAACTTTCTTTTGGTGGTATTTGACCACCTCTGCGTTTTTTATTTTTTGTACTATAAACAAAAAAAGATCATTTTGAAAAAAAAAAAAAACAATATTTTTGACTTTATCCAGTAAAAAATTTAAAAAAAAATCTAATTTCTTCATAAATTTAGGGCAAAATGTACTCTGCTACATGTCTTTGCTAAAAAAGATCCCAATACGTGTAAATTTATTGCTTTACGTGAAAGTTATAGTGTCTACAAATGGGGGTATATATACTGGAATTTTTATTCATTTATTTTTATATTAGCAATGGTGATGATCAGCGACTTCTAGCGGGACTGTGGCGGGCATTCTGACACTGGGAGGGAACTGACTAACTGCCACTAACATCCCAATGACACTAATACAGTGATCAGTGCTAATCAAAAGCACTGACACTGTACTAATGACACTGAGCAGGAAGGGGTTAACATCTGGGGCGATCAAAGGGTTAACTGTGCTGTTTTTTATAATGTGCTGTGTGTTTCACTAAGGAGACATGCTGCTTTGTATTTCTCTGCTGTGTATAGAAATACAAAGCAGCATGCCCTTGCTGGCAGGAGAGAGACCTGTCAGCTTTCCCCCAACGATCCTTGGGTGCTGTTGGGGAATCTCCGGCCAGGACCCAGTGATTGACATCTGTGGCCACCAAAGGGCATGTGCCCCCTACCCAGAAATGCAAATCACATATATATATATATATATATATGTAACTAAAATAGGGTGAGTGAGCGCAATCTCAGAATAGCAGCTAGCACACAAGGCAATCCTCAACACCAAAAGAAAAAAATAAAATAAAATGGTATGCAGCGCTAAATAGTAAAGTAAACATCCGTATAACCAGAGTGAAGGTAAATAGATAAGACGGTGTGAACCATCAATCAAACGTAAATAGTCCCAAATGTGATAAAAAGATAAAGGTGAAAGATCGGCAATGCCACAGTGGTAATAAGTATATTAAAAATCCAGTCAGGCTTGTGGAAGAATCAGGTAAATTAATGTGCTTGCCACAAAGACATACAAACTGAGCGTTGTATGTATAATGGTGGACATCAGGGCCTGGTCAGCAAACAGGACTGCATCCGGTCACCATGTAAGACCCCCAGGAATGGTGGGAAACACTCTCCAGGGTCATCTCAGGTTTCGCCGGCAGGTCCAATGGAGTCCTCTCCCAATGGTACTCCTCCAAATCGCTTCACCTTGATGGGGCTCGCAAATAACGAGCCAAGGGCAAAATGGCAATAATGGTGAAGTATGTCTTTATTAAGTAAACAGCAAATGGTATATTAGGGAACTCACAAATATAAAGCAATGCCCAGGTCAAACAGAGAAGTTCCCTGGTGGCTAGTGGCTCCCTGGTGGTTTAATGGCGTCTGTTGAGTGGATCCCCTAACATGTTTCGAGCCACGCTCGTTGTCAACGTTGTCAATGGCTCGAAACATGTTAGGGGATCCACTCAACAGACGCCATTAAACCACCAGGGAGCTACTAGCCACCAGGGAACTTCTCTGTTTGACCTGGGCATTGCTTTATATTTGTGAGTTCCCTAATATACCATTTGCTGTTTACTTAATAAAGACATATCACCATTATTGCCATTTTGCCCTTGGCTCGTTATTTGCGAGCCCCATCAAGGTGGAGCGATTTGGAGGAGTACCATTGGGAGAGGACTCCGTTGGACCTGCCGGCGAAACCTGAGATGACCCTGGAGAGTGTTTCCCACCATTCCTGGGGGTCTTACATGGTGACCGGATGCAGTCCTGTTTGCTGACCAGGCACTGATGTCCACCATTATACATACAACGCTCAGTTTGTATGTCTTTGTGGCAAGCGCATTAATTTACCGGATTCTTCCACAAGCCTGACTGGATTTTTAATATACTTATTACCACTGTGGCATTGCCGATCTTTCACCTTTATCTTTTTAGCACATTTGGGACTATTTACGTTTGATTGATGGTTCACACCGTCTTATCTATTTACCATCACTCTGGTTATACGGATGTTTACTTTACTATTTTGCGCTGCATACCATTTTATTTTATATATATATATATATATGTGTGTGTGATTTTGCACAGCCCTGCCACCCTGTAGCAGTAGTTCTACTATAGGGCGGCGGTAAAAACAAATGAAGCTTATGCTTATGTACATGGATTATGAGAAGATAACCAAATTCTAACCTCACAGTGCCCCAGACACACACAGATATGTGAGCATTGGCTCTATTTAATAAAGCATGTGTTTTGCTAAGGCATGTATGCCCCAAAGTAGACCAGTTAAACTGTGGTGTGCCTAAATAATTTATGATTTATTCTAATACATTTGGTTGTATCTGAACATGATGAAAGATTTTGCGAGTGTATATCATGTAGGAACAAAACCACATGAGATTTAAAAACCACAAATTCATAGTGCACATAGTACCACAGGTTTCACAGTGCACATATTAGATTTTATATGTAGTATTCTCTAAACAGGCTTACAATACAATTATATACATGTTGTCTTTTTTGCTCTGACAGCATGGCATATGCATTTTCTAGATCTGCTGCTTTGCTTGGTGTTGTGCATTTTATTGCTTAATTATGTGGTCACATTAGTATTTATGTATTTGCTCTGATTTTCATGTAATATATTGGCACGCATTAATTTAACAACAACAAATCGAGTTCTCTTTTACTTTGTTGTCCTCATAATCATGATGAGACCTTTAAACCTACAATTTTGTGATGTGAGTGAATTCAATGGTTCAGCTACAGTAACAGACACAAAGTTCAGGCACTAGAAGTAACATTGTACTATCATATACCACTACAGCTGATAAGGGAGTATATCTATAATGCTTGTGGGTTCAAAGGCAAATGTAGATAAAACTTTAAAAAGGCATTTTGTTCTGAGAAAAATACATTTAACAACAATATGTCAAATAATAATGAATTGTGCTTATTGTTGAACAAGGCTGTTAACTCTATTGTCCAGTCCAATAAGAAACCAGAGAAAGTAGTTATTTTACCCAGGAGCCTCCAGTAAGTGCTCCTAAATATTACCTCAATTGATCTACGAAGGATGTCATCTGACTATTGGGATACATGCTCCTTACGGATCTCCTAAATAGTAAAATAACGCATATCTTTATACATGTGTTTGACATAAGTGAGTGCGACTCAGATGCATGCCTGGAACTTGTGAATATTCAAGTAAACCTGTTAACGTAGGCATCAGGTATATCGACATAAAAAATAATTAAGTCAGGCAGAGCATAGAAACTTTAAATAGATACTTGCATGTAGACGTACCCATAGATATAAGATAACAGTGGAAACCAGCAGAGGTCAGACAGGGGGTTCAGTTGCAGACGGGAGGCATTTTTCCTGCGTAAATGCTGTTCTGTGATCTCCACTTTAAACTGTCTCCCTGCTAAGCACTGACTTTCTGAAACTTGGGGTAAATGCTGTTCTGTGATCTCCACCTTAAACTGTCTCCCTGCTAAGCACTGACTTTCTGCAACTTGGGGTAAATGCTGTTCTGTGATCTCTACCTTAAACTGTCTCCCTGCTAAGCACTGACTCTCTGCAAATCTCAGGATAATTAGTACTATATATTTTTGTTTGTGGTGATTGATTCTCACCTCCTTTGCCTTTCTGTGATCAGAGAATCAACCATCTTTTATGACCCTGGCCTGTGTGTGCAACTGATCTGGTTTTGACCAACCTCCCCCCAAATTCATGTGATCCTTATCAGTTTCTAATTGGGGCGAAGAAGAATTTGATCATCTCCCTATAAATTTAGACCAGTTTATGGGGGAGGTTACAGATGGGGGGGTTCAATCGCAGACAGGGGGCATTTTTCCTGCGTGAGTGCATTTGCTGCTGAAGTGCAAAGCAGCAGTTGAACACAGCAGTTTAACTAAAGCAGGATAACTCAAGCAGCAGGAATATACAACAAAGAACTCTACTGCACACTGGATGGACTGCAAGCAAACACCCTGGGGTCCCTCAAGGTTCTGTCCTTGGACCCCTTCTCTTCGCCACCTACACCTCCTCCCTTGGTCACTTAATAAACTCCAATGGCTTTAAGTACCATCTCTATGCTGATGACGCACAAATCTATCTTTCTACTCCTCACCTCGCCCCTTCAGTCTCCTCTCGCATTACCGACCTAAGTGACATATCAGGATTGATGTCACTCCACTTCCTCAAACTAAATCTTTCCAAAATGGAGCTCATACTATTCCATCCAGCCCATGCCCTCTCCCCTGACTTCTCCATCAAGATCAATAATACAACCATCAGTCCCTCCCCTCATGCCAGGGTACTAGGTGTAATCCTAGACTCCCATCTGTCCTTTCAGCCCCAAATCCAATTGCTGTCCAAATCTTGTAGACTTCACCTCCACAACATCTCCAAGATACGCCCGTTCTTAACCTCTGAAACCACTAAGCAACTTATTCACTCCCTTGTTATATCTCGCCCTGACTATTGTAACTCCCTCCTCATTGGCCTACCTAATTGCAGGCTATCCCCTCTTCAGTCTATCATGAATGCTGCTTCCAGACTCATCCACCTTACTAACCATTCCATATTTTCCACCCCTCTCTGCCAGTCCCTCCACTGGCTTCCCATTGCCCAACGAATAAAATTCAAAACATTAACAATAACATATAAAGCCATTTGTAACTCTGCCGCAAATTACATCACCAATCTGGGCTCCAAATATCACCCAAACCATCCTCTCCACTCCTCGCGTGACCTCCTGCTCCCTAGCTCCTTTGTCTCCTCCTCCCATGTTCATCTCCAGGACTTCTCCAGAGCCTCCCCATCCTCTGGAACTCTCTACCCCAATCTATTCGACTATCGCCTACTCTGCGCACGTTTAGACGATCTCTGAAAACCTCTTCAGGGAAGCCTATCCCGCCTTCAGCTAATAACGGAATCTTCTATTCCTCCTATCAGTTCATCCCCCACAATTATTACCTTTTGTACCACCAGCCCCTCCCTTTTGGATTGTAAGCTCCAAGAAGCAGGACCCTCTTAACCCTCTTGTATTGCATTGTATCGTTGCTGTATTGTCTCCCTTTATATTGTAAAGCGCTGAGCAAACTATTGGCGCTATATAAATCCTGTATAATAATAATGATACGTCTAGCAGGCTAAGAGACGTTGGGGTATATATAGTTACTAAAATCTAAATAGATTGTTAGACTCAGAAATAAAATAATCTTACATTTTGTTTTAAAATTGCAACTTTTATTGTAAAAGTCAGGTTTGCTCCACCTTTTGAATCTCCCTATTAGTCAGCACAGTTGTTAATTACATTAATAGACCAATAAAGATTAGGAAGAGGCAGGAGAAGTGGGGCAAAGTATATTTTTCACAGGAAAAGAGCAATTTACATATAAATTCAAATGCCTAAATATAGATCTACTGATCATTAGCTAATCATCTGCTCATGCATGTCATCTTATGCTCACTTTAAATTGCCCAGGTTTAATGGTGATGCTTAGTGAGCTGAGCATTTATGTTATGCTACATGTTGGTCCAAAAGACAGTTTGATTATGCCTGTATTCTTATTGTACTCTGAATTCTATGGGCAGCTTTAGCCTCTTTAGACTTAGCATAAAAAATATAGTGAGTATATCCAAATTTAACAAGCATTCAAGCAAGAAAACTCTGCAATGTTCCCTCTGCACATCTTTTTGTCTTGCAGACAGCCACTTAACTTACTGTTATGTCTAATCCTACTGTACTACATTCCAAATCGTTAACACAGCTAGAATAATGTACAGGTCCTAATATGTACACTATAAAACTACACTAAAGCCTCAACAATTGCAAAGTTGTATACTTTAACTTCATGTTAAGGTAACCATTTTTTATGACAGTCCTAACCTTGAGTGTAATAATTATGCCTCCTAATCATGAACTACCTTAGTTTTGGTCTTTGTAACATTGTTCATATTACGGTCACAGAATGGCAAATTCCACTGTCTCTCATGGGCTTTTTAAATAAAAATTAGGTTATGCCAGAAATGAACAGTAACATCACAAGATAAAATTCTCCAAATGTAATGGATTCCTGTGCTTTTAAGGAGAGGTTTTCATCTACCAAAATCAATATTATGTTCAAAGCGGTATGTACTATAGTAAATAAGTAAATACAATATTTAGTATATAAACGGTACTGTATTTTCACAATTCTTACTTTGTGTAAAATGCCACAAATTTTAATTCCTCAATGTCCCCTTGAATGATAACATCATCAAAACCTTCCCCATTGCCTAAAAAAAAAAGGAAAGTCATCAATATAAAGTCAGTTAATATAATATAAAGATAATATATACATAAAGACAAGTGTATGCTAAGCCAAAATCTTTTGAATAGAACGGGAAAGGGTTAGAATTCTGGTTTTTGCTGCTATCTGGGACTCCTTTTACTTCCAGTTCTGCAGTTACTATTTTACCAGACTGGAAGTGGAGGGGAATTCTCCTATAGCAATACAGACAGAAATAAAGAGTTATGTTCCTGCCTGTGTCCCTGTTGTAGATTTGTCTCTCACTTTCTGTGTGGTAAAACTTTAGTAATAGGAAGAAGGGTCATCCACACACCGGAGGATAGATGAATATAGTGTGTATTTATTGATCCATAGGACACACAAAACACCAGGACATGAATTCAGGACTTGTTCACACGATCTTGTGCTTAATGATTAAGCCCCAGAGGCTTGTATGTATATTACAGATGAACATACAATATGTTTCTTCTTTACAATAGATTAGGTAAATGATTATTTTACCTGCATAACGTATGCTCTTTCCAAACATGGCTGTCCATAGATATGGAATAGTATTGATTTCAGTGCCTTGAGCCAGCATGTTCAGTGCTGCTATGCGACCTATGTCCCCAAAAAATGTGGTTTGCAAGGAAAGGAATTAGAAACATAATTAATACGTTAAATAATAGTCATATTCTCATAATTCTCTCATTATATAGATGCATACTTAGCTAAACTTATCTACTGAAGCCTCCTGTGATCGTTTATATTCTGGTCGTGCCTGCACATTACAGCCCCATAGACTATCATGGGGTTGTCTCTCATCATCTCCCTTCTTCTCTAGCATGGGGACACAGCCTCAAAGACGTCTATGGAGCTGTAATGCACAATTGTGGCCAGGGGAGTGAGACTTGCTGGACTTTGGATGTAAACAATCCTGGAACCCATGGCAGTTGTATTGAGGTAATTATGCATCTATGGGGGGGGTATTTTTTAGGTCAGAGCATAGGAGCAAAATGGATGCAGTGCATTTTGCCCTAAAGTGTACATATCCTTTAAGGTCAAGTAGGACACCAAGCCTATATAATACTGTGATTTTTTTCAAGTACATCAGTCCTTTTGTCACATGTGTTGTATTTTTTGAAGGTTATCAGTTATCAAGGCCATGGTATAGCTATTAGTAGTTAGACACATTCAACTGAACTTGTTCTGTAATATTGAATGCATTTTGTTACTCAATCAAGCAGCTCCTACAGAACTGGAGAAGCATGCTTGGATAAGTAATGAAACACCTTCAACATAGCAGAACATGTCCAGTTGAATGTGTCTGACTACTGTTAGGTTCCTATGCATTTGTTTTTCCTTTCTGTTGGCTTATGTACAGTAAATATTCTGCAGGGAAGTAACAATAAAATATGCTATGTTGTGTTCATTAAAAATGTCAATGATAAAGATAATTAATTTTGCATTAATAAAATCACAGTGTTACCTTGCATATGTGCCATCTGCCAGTGAGGTACATTGACTTTCTTGTTATTGCGAAAAGCTAATGGGAAAGTCACAACATCCCCTGCAGCAAAGACACCAGGAATGTTCGTCTGCATCATCTGAGAAAAGTAATGATTGGTGTATTTATTGGATTAGTAGGATTTTTACAGGTCCATATGCTGCCTGTTTCATAATACACCAGAATATGTAACAAAATATGAGCTCAATGCCTCTTTATTTTGTAGTGGCCACATTATTGGGTATACCAAAGTGTAACTGTTTTGACTTCTGAGCAGCCATAGCAATTTGTAGTATGCATTCAACAAGATGCTGGAATGTTCTTTAGGGATTTTAGACCTGGTTCACACCGGTGCAACTTGAGGTGCGATGTGCGATTTACAAATCACACCTGAAGTCACATCTAATGTATTTCTATGGCATTGTCTTATTCAGTGTGATTTGTAGTGAGATTTCAAAAATAGTTTCTGAACTACTTTTTTCTGATTTCATTGTGACTTGCATTGAGTTCTGTTAAATGAAGTTGCAAGCCACAGTGAAATTGGAGATACAAATCGCACTGATCTGCAACTTTGAAATCGCACTAGTTGAAGTGAAGATTTCAAAGTTGCATTCAGTGTGAACCAGGGGTTACTCCATGTTGACTTTAAACCCTGGTTCACACTGAATGCAACTTTGAAATCACTTGACGTAGTGTGATTTCAAAGATGCAGATCAGTGCAATTTGTACCTCCGATTTCACTGTGCCTTGCAACTTCATTTAACAGATGTCAATGCAAATTGCAATGAAATCGGAAAAAAATAGTGTAGGAAATATTTTTGAAATCATGCTACTTCAAATCACACTGATTAACACAGTGCCATAGAAACACATTAGGTATGACTTCAGGTGTGATTTGTAAATCACATGTCGCACCTGAAGTCGCACTGATGTGAAAAAGGGGTTAACAGATTTGTTGACCACATTTATGCTACAAACCTCTGGTTCCATCTCACCCTGTGGCGTGCCTCAAATTTTGGCCGTACAATCTGCATGCCACAGCAGAAATTGGGATTCTTCAGAAGAGGCAACATTTTTCCATTTTTTTTTATGTGTTCTCCTGCTGTAGCCCATCATCTTTAAGGCTTTTGTTACCTCATTTGTTTTAAACTCTAGAGACTGTAGTGCATGATAATACTAGTAGGTCAGCAGTTTCTGAAATGCTGCATTGTAAACAGAGTCAACAAGCTTTTTACGGTCAAAACTTATGATTCTTATTATTTTGTGACCTTGATTTGATTGCACACCTGTCTTAGTTCTATCTTGTCTGGTTTGTGCTTTTATCCTCTGTTTTGTTCCCAGTTTGGTTACTTCTTGTGTCTGTTATTCTTTTATGAACTTTATCTACTTTTTTCACCAATGTCTGTCTGCCTGTTTATTCTAATTCTGTAGCTCACAGTTTTGTGTATGTTCAACCCTGCTTCTCCTTGTTAACCTTCTATGTTCTCTGGCTCTGCTTGCATCAGCTAAAATAGACCATACTCCGAGTTATTATTATTATAATACAGGATTTATATAGCGCCAACAGTTTGTGCAGCACTTTACAAAATGAAGGTAGACATTACAGTTACAATACAATTTGGTACAAGAGGAAACAGAGGGCCCTGCTCGTTAGAGCTTACAATCTAGGAGGAAGGTTTCAGTGATGCAAAAGCTAATAGCTGTGGGGGATGAGCTGATGGAAGAAAAAAAAGGCAGTTTAGTAGTTAGAAGCAGGATAGGCTTCTTTAAAGAGAAAGATTTTCAGGGATCATCTAAAGGTGGGTAGATTAGGAGATAGCCAGACAGATTGGGGTAGGGAGTTTCATAGGATGGGAAAAACTCGGGAGAAGTCCTGGAGGCGAGCATGGGAGGAGGTGACATGAGAACTAGAGACCAGAAGGTCTTGGGAGGATCGAAGAGAGCGGTTTGGTTGATATTTTGAGACCAGGTTGGTGGTGTAGCTGGGGGCAGAGTTGTGGATGGCTTTGTAAGTTGTTAGTATTTTGAATTTTATTCGTTGGGCGAGTGGAAGCCAGTGGAGGGATTGGCAGAGAGGGGTAGCAGACACTGAACAGTTGGTAAGGTGGATGAGCCTGGCAGCAGTATTCATGATGGACTGGAGGGGGGATAGCCTATGTAAAGGTAAGCTAATGAGGAGGGAGTTGCAGTAGTCGGGACGAGAGATAACCAGGGAGTGAATTAGGAGCTTTACGGTAGCATTGGTTAAAAAGGGGTGTATTCTGGAGATGTTGCAGAGGTTGAGGCGGCATGATTTGGACAGGGATTGGATGTGAGCCTGAAAGGATAGTTCAGAATCCAGGGTTATCCCTAGCACCCTGGCATGCAGGGATGGGTTGATAGTGGTGCTATTGATCCTGACTGAGAAATCAGGAGAATAGGCGCGTGGGGGAGGAAATATTATGAGCTCAGTTTTGGATAGATTGAGTTTTAGGAAGTTGTGTGACATCTAGTCTGATATGTCTGGTAGTAAATCGGTAATACCTGAGGAAACTGATGGGGTGAGCTGATTAGTAGAGTCTGATAGGTCTGTTAGTAAATCATTGATACGTGATACTTTTTTCTATGGTTGAACTGGATGGACTTTTGTCTTTTTTCAGCCAGACTAACTATGTAACTATGAAACTGATGGGGTGAGCTGAGGAGTAGAGAGATAGATTTGTGTGTTATCAGCATAGAAATGGTATTGGAAACCATGGGAAGCTATCAGTTGACCCAAAGAAGAGGTGTAGATCGAGAATAAGAGAGGTCCAAGGACAGAACCTAGGGGGACCATGACAGTCAGAGGAGTAGGAGAGGAGGAAGTAGAGTTGTGACACTGAAGGTGAGATAGGTAAGGTTCAAACCAACGGAGAGTACAGTCACGGAGACCAAGTAAATAGAGTTTTTTGAGGAGAAGGGGTGTGGTCAACTATGTCAATGGCAGTGGAGAGGTCCAAGAGTAAGAGTACAGAATAGTGACCATTGCTTTTAGCGGTAAGCAAGCGTGAGTTTTAGGCGAGTTGTTTCTGTGGAGTGTTGTTGGCGAAATCCAGACTGAAGGGGATCAAGAAGGTTATTCTCAATAAGGTGGCAGCTCAGCCAGTTGTAGACTAGACGTTCAAGGAGTTTGGAGGCAAAATGAAGCAAGGAGATGGGTCTTTGGTTGTTAAGATTGGTGGGGTCCAGTGAGGCCTTTTTAAGTATGAGGGTGACTAGCGCATGTTTTAGAGGGTTGGGGAAGATGCCAGTAGAAAAGGAGAGATTGAAGATATGAGTTAAACAGTGAAGGATAGAGCCAGAGGGTGACCATAGTATTTGCGAGGCAACAGGGGACAAGTGGTAAGGTGGGCTTTAGAAAAAGGTTTACCAACTTCCTCTATAGTAGCTGGGTTAAACAAGGGAAGTATAGATTATGCAGGTGGACAAGGAGTGTAGGGTGAGGAAGATATCATCACAAATTGTATAAATCTTATTTTTGAAGTGATTAGCGATCTCCTGGGCAGTAAGTTAGTAGGTGAAGGTAAAGAAGAACGAAGTAGAGAGTTAAAGGTAGAAAATAATTAACAGGGATTGCATGAAAGGGTGTTAATGAGAGTGATAAATTAGAACTGTTTGGCAGTGTGGAGACAAGAATTGTATTTTTGAAGGGCAAATTTATATTGGTCGAAGTCTTGCTGGGTCTTAGTCTTATACCATAAACACTCAAGAGCATGGCTATGGTTTTTGCGGCATCTGGTATTGTCTGTTTGCCAGGGCTGTGGTGGTCAGGGCCTAATTCTGTGTGTTGTGAGGGTGGCCAATCTTTCCACAGTGGATGACAGTGAACTTGTATACAGAAGTGGCCAGGCTGGGGCAGGACAAGGCTGAGATTTTGTCATAGAGACAATCTGTTGCCAAAAAAAGAAGAGAAGGGTTAAGATAGCTAAGGTTTCTACAGGTAACTGTTTGGTAGTTGGAGGACAAGGAGGAAGAAGCCAAAGAGAGAGTGAAGCTAATAAGGGAGTGATCAAAGAGAGGAAAAGGAAAGTTAGTGAGATGCAAGGAGTGCATAGGTAGGAGAATACAAGGTCAAGGCAGTTGCCATTAGAGTGAGTAGAAGCATGTGTCCATTGTTTTAGGTCTAGAGAAGTGGTTAGGCTCAGAAGTTTAGAGGTAGCAGGAGAGTTAAGATTAACAGGAATGTTGAAGTCACAAGAATGATTGTGGGAATTTCAGAAGAGAGAAAGTAAGGCAGCCAGGCAGAGAAGTCATCAAGGAAGCTTGATACTGGTCCAGGAGGCCGATAGATCACAGCAATTCTTAAAGAAACTGGAGAGATCAGACGAATACAGTGAACTTCAAATGAGGAGAGAGACAGAGAGACAGGTGAATGAAGGACCTAAAAAGTGCTTTAAGGGGATAGGAGCATTCCAACTCCCCCTCCTTTACGTCCACTAAGCCTGGGAGAGTGAGTCCAGAGGAGACCACTATGGGAGAGGGCAGCAGGAGAGGGAAAGTCAGATTCATGAAGCCAGGTTTCAATAATTGCAAGTAGGTTAGAGGAGTTTATGATAAAAAGGTCATGGACAGAGGTGAGTTTGTTACATACAGAGCGGGCACAGGAAAAGGGGATGCTGGTTCTAGGAAGAAGAGGAATAGTAACCAGATTGTGTGGATTGCGGCTGCTGTTAGAGGATAGGGGGTGCCAGGTGTGTTGGTCAAAGGAAAAAGATGGCGGCCTAGGATTTGGGGAAATGTCTCCAGATGTTAGAAGCAGAAGGGTGAGAGAGGTAATATAGGAATATGACTTTTATGGAGGGACAGGTGCCAGTGTCCTGGAGGTTTTATTAGTATGTGGGTTCAGAATTAGCAGGAGTTGATGAGTACAGTAATAAGGTGAAGACAGGAGTGAGGGTGATATATATAAGCTGTGGGGTGGAGAAGAGGGTTGAAGGAGAGAGAGTTTGAAGAAAGAGGATACAACTGTGAGAAGGAGGAGTAAAGCGTGCATGTTACAGAGTGGTGAGATGAAGAAGCAGACTGGGTAAGAGATGAAAGAGCTGGATGGGGAAACCTGTAGTCTGCTTAGTATTTGGAGTTGTCTGCTGTGGTTTCTCACTTTGTGCTTTCACTGAAGTGCAGAGCCGAAGTGAAATGCCCAATACTTAACCACCTCCCGCCCGCCATATAGTAATATGACGGACGCAAGGTGGTTCTTTCGTTCTGGGAGGACATCATATGACGTCCTCCCATTCTAACTGCGCATGCGTGGCTCCTGGAGCGCACAGCGCGGTGATTGGCGGGGCGCTGTGTCCCTCGGACACAGCGGATCACCGATCCATGGAAAGAGCCGAAGATGTCGGCTCGGTCATGTGATCAGCTGTGTCCAATCACAGCTGATCACATGTAAACAGGGAAATGCCGGTTAGCAGTATTTCTCTCCTCACAAGCTGTCAGCTCGAGAGGAGAGCCGGTAATCGGCATTCCTCAGAGGGTACATGTACACAGATCATCAGCGCACTGATGATCAGTGTGCCCTTATGAATTGTGTGTAGCCCCAGCAGCGCCACCTGCCAGTGCCCATCAGTGCCACATTTCAGTGCCCATCAGTGCCACATCAATGCCACACATCACTGCCCATCTGAGCTGCCTTTCAGTGTCACCCATCAGTGCCAGTCAGTGCCACCTATCAGTGTGCATCAGTGCCACCTATCAGTGCCTGTCAGTGCTGCCTATCAGTGCCGCCTAACAGTGCCAGTCAGTGCCAGTCAGTGCCGCCTATCAGTGCCAGTCAGTGCCACCTATCAGTGCCACCTATCAGTGCTGCCAATCAGTGCCGCCTATCAGTGCCAGTCAGTGCCGCCTATCAGTGTGCATCAGTGCTGCCTATCAGTGCCCATCAGTGCTGCCTATCAGTGCCGCCTAACAGTGCCAGTCAGTGCCACCTAACAGTGCCAGTCAGTGCTGATTATCAGTGCCAGTCAGTGCCCCCTATCAGTGCCACCTACCAGTGCCGCCTGTCAGTGCCATATATGAGTGCTGCCTTTCAGTGCCCATCAGTGATGCCTGTCAATGCCCATCAGTGCCACCTACCAGTGTCTCCTCATCAGTGTCCATCAGTGCAGCCTATCAATGCCCATCACTGCAGCCTCATTAGCGCACATCAGTGAAGGAGAAAAATCACTTATTTACAAAATTTTATAACAAAAACTAAGAAAAAAATGTTTTTTTCCAAAATTTTCAGTGGTTTTTGGTTTGTTTAAAAAAAAAATAAAAAACCCAGAGGTGATTAAATACCACTTAAATAAAGCTCTATCTGTCACAAAAAAATGATAAAACTTTCATATGGGTACAGTGTTGCATGACCGGGCAACTGTCATTCAAAGTGTGACAGTGTTGAAAGCTGGAAATTGGCCTGGGCAGGAAGGGGGTATAAGTGCCCTGTAGGCTAGTGGTTAATCCAAGATCAATACTTTATCCAAGATGATAGTTGCCAATGCTACCCCTGGCTGTGCCTCCCTTAAAGAAGGCCTACATTTACACTGAGTTGGGTGGGGGTATTGCTAATTAATCAGTTAATTCCGTTAATACCAGTTTCTTCTGGCTGGTCTCTGCTTCAGTGTCTGTCTGTGCTAGTCACAATTTCCCATCTTGGCAACTGGTTTCCTTAAAATTTTCCTCCACTAATGCTCCCACCTAACCCCAGATGCTGTAATTTTCTGGTTCCATGGGGGTTAAAAGAACTGGGGGAACTGCCATTTCTACTCATCAAGAAGGCTCAACTATACCCACCTTTTCTGCCCAGCACTGCCATTCATAGAAGACGGTACTACAGCTTCTATCAATGAAACACACAGGCTGGATTGATGTGAACTAAGTTTGTTTCTAAGATATTTATCAAGAGCCCCCTCTTTGGAATATATGTGCCTTGATTACTTTAACTTGATTTATGCTGACTTACTTTGGATCTGAATGGTTCCCCATTGGGATTTGGTCCTTCTATTTCAAGATTATGTGTACAAGACTATTGGCTGTTTACTGAATTTCCCACCTGAGAAGCAGTTTCTTCACCTTGGCTTACTCATTTGCACCTCTACGGGCAACATGCACATGCTATGAATTCCAGTCTACCCTACTGGCTGATATTACTCTAGTAAAAGATTAGGAGTGGGTTCCAGTATACAGATTCTGTCACATGTGCTCCTGAAGAAAGATTCCAAAAATGCATCAAGTCCACTTGTGGACTGTAATGAGAATCTTTGCATGTTGTGAACCCCTATGTGGAGAGTAATTTTTAATGTTGTGCAATAGATTTTTAATGTTATATTATAAAGTTGTTTTTACTGTACTCAGTTTCTCTTCAATATGCCCACACAAAGTCTATGACTACATACTCTGTTCATTGTTGTCTATGAATGAAACACGATCAATATATGGAGGACAGGTAGAAGATTGATAAGTCTGACCCTTCCATTCATACATCATGTTTCATTACGCATAAAGGCATTCATGGGCATAAAGGAAAAGCATAATCAGCACTCTCAATGAGTGAAAATGACAGCTTCCCCAGTTCTATTAACCCCTGGCACACTGGAAGATTACAGCAATGTGGGGATGGGGGGAATTTCTGGAGGAAAATTTAAAAAAAGTAATCTTTATATAACTATTGAAACAGACCTGAAGAGTATCAGCACGGGCCCTAAAACTAAAGCAGACAGAGCCTCCTCTTGTGGCTAATGTGGCTACTAAAGAACAGTTTGACAAACCTATTTTTTGTGGTAGTATATCAGGCCTGCCTTCATTTCCGTGCATCTGAATGTCTATTTTCTCATCTCAGATTATCCTACTGGTTTATACCGTCACAGTGGCTGAAAACCCACTCCAACTCATAACCCTCAGCTTTCACTTAGATGTTGTAATCTCTTCAGATTCTGTTGAATGTATTGGTAGTCCTTGTAATAAAAGTATCTGACACCTCACCCTCAATCCTCCTCCCTGCTCCTCATCCCCACATCTAACAAATGACAGTTGTAAGTATAGTGATTTCCAAAAATATTTTTAATAAAGTGATTTTCCTTTAATTAATGGTATGCCCTTCATTATTCATATCAGTCGAGCTGCCATAAATTAGCCTAAGGCAGTTTTATGATTTGTACACTAGTGGCACTTGGCTCTGACACATCACAGCACATTGACAAATTAGTATTCAAAGTATCGCTTTGGAAATGCAGTCTTTTATAAGGTTAAGCTCTAAAACAGGCAGTAGTAGTCACTGCAGGAGATATAAAGAAGAGAGACAGGAGTTTTTTGAAGAGTGACCCTTCCAGCTCAACCTTGTAAAACATTAGCACATCTGTGAGCTATTTGTTTTAGGAATTCTTTTACAATGTAGAGCAAATAGCAGCAGGATTTTCCTAACATCCAATACCAGCAGGATTTTCCTGATATCCGATAGCAGCAGGATTTTCCTGACATCCAGCAACTAGAGAGAAACTATTTATTTCTTTTACCTTTCATGTATGGTATATTACTAGTTGTCTATGTGAGATCATTCTTTTCTTTCGTATTCCTTAGGGCTCGTTCACACTTGACTTTATTTCTAACTCTTGCCAAACGCCCCTATGGCGTTTGACAGGTGTTTGGGAAGCATTTTTAACGCTCCCCAAACGCCCCATGTACAGTTTTGTGGCAGTTGATAGGCGTTTGTCAAGCATTAAAACCGCACCACAAATTCCTATAATGAAGTTAAATGGTATTAACGCTCCACAACCGCTTCGCAACCGGCGTCACAACCGCACCGCAAACTCCTGCCAGGCATTTGCGGAGCGGCACCATAGACTTGAATGGGAGGCTTCAACTCCTGACTCCACACGAGGCGTCAGTTTTGCCACAACGCTAATGCTTCAGTGTGAACAGCACTGTGTGGTGCCATGTGCAGAATTTTCATAGGCGTTTGTGAAGCGTTAAAAACGCTTCTCAAACGCCTGTCTGACGCCTGCTGACAAAGCTAGTGTGAACTGAGCCTTAATCATAGAAAAATTCCAAAACATACAAAACATACCTATACAGCTGATATGCCTTTTCTGTGTTGCAACTAATACCATAAATAATAAAGGATTTTTAGTGTTTTTAAGTTTCTTTAGTCTAGGTTTACATCCATGCATTTTCCGCTGCATTTTGCAGAAATGCACAGCAGTGCATTTATTATTATTATACAGGATTTATATAGCGCCAACAGTTTGCGCAGTGCTTTACAAAATTTAACATGATTTCCTATGGGACACGTTCACATCTCCGCGTTTTCACCTGGTGCATTTTTTGGAAAGGGTCAGGGACTTTTTTAAATGCAAAACGTTGCGTTTTTTGTTCTATAGACTTCAATGGAGATGCTGCAGAAAAGCATGTAGCATGTTTTTGATGCGTTTTTGATGTGTTTTGCATTTTATATTGAAAAAAAAAAACGCAAAACACATAAGAAACGCGGCACAATGGGGCAAAAACACATGTGCAAAAACTCACCGCAAAAAGCACTATAGAAACGGATCAAATGCAAACTGTGTGAACCTAGCCTTATGCAAACACTCCGAAACAGAAAGCATGCACACATATAAATTTATATGTCTTGTAGCTTTCCCAGATGTTTCCCAGCTGCTTTACAGGCACAAAGTAGGACCTGGATTCTGTACAACATATTTTCTTCTGCTTCACATGCTTCAAAGCCCAGAGGTCATAGGATTTTCTCATCTCCCTGTTAGTATGTCATGATGCTCCTATATTTGCATAAGACCATCAGAACAATGTTGCATCACATTGCTGTCTTCAGTTTCCTCTACTCATTTGTTGAGTTATATTTTACAATTATGTTGTTGCAAACGGCTTAAAAAAAAGAGCAGGAGAGGGGCAGGATTAAGGTGGGGTTAAAATGTCCTTATTACATGCCATGTTTTTTGCTGTTCCTGGTAAAAAAATAAAAACAAAACATTTTTCCTACATAGGACTTCCTGTGAAGAAATGATTTCATTTCCCTCGAACAGTACTACCCCTTCATCACCTCCCACTAATACTGATGAATAACTAGGCAAGATGGCATATGGATCATGTGAAATATGGATAATGCAAAAGATAACATAGATTTGCAAGTATGCAGGCATGCTCAATGTCTAACTTACAATTTTAGATTGTTTAAAAAAAAAATTAGTTCTGCCTTAACTGCATGAACTAGTTGCAAAAAAGGGACAGTGGCACATAATAGTCAAACCATGAAGTCAGAGGTGTGGCTCAAATATCGGCCGGTTCAGCACCTCCCAACTCCATAACAGTTGAGTTGAAGGAGCTAGGTGGAAAACTGCCTGACCAACAGTGATTTCATCCTGTCATATGAAGTCACTGTTGGGGATTTTGACTGCCAAACGTCAGCACACAGTAGCCATCAGGGGGGTTTATTCTACCTAGCTGTTTAGCATGGATGGAGGAATCTAATGGATTCCTTTCTTTCAGTCCATGAGCTGAATAGAATACATTTTTGTATGGCTAGCCTTAGTATGCTTGAAATTACTGAAGCAGAAACTCTCCTGAGATGTGCCCGCGCAATATCTTCTCTTAGCTTGGTATACACTAGTAGAATTTTGTTCTGTATTTTGTATTGCAAGAAGGTTCATTCATTTTTCTAAGCATTACTTGGGTCAAATTGGCATTCATTTTTTAATGCATTGATGAAAAAATTTGAAGGATCAGGGTGGAATTTTTTTTGGTATTTATGAATTTCTAAGAATGTGTGTAGTTATTGTTTGGTAAAGTATATTCATTCCAAAATTGAATGATAAAAGCAAACAAAATATTGAACTACTTTCAAAGAATATTTGAATGTAGTGAGAATTTTCATACTAGTATATACCGAGCTTTAGACCTGCCAAAGACTCACCTTCAGCATACCACTGTGAAGGTACTCATTAGTACCCCCCCCCCCTGCTTCTGGAGGTTCATGGAAACGTCTAGAAACTAGTGGGTGGAGGTAAAGAGGCAGGAAATGCATACTTAGGGGCATTTAGACAATCCCCAGGCAGGAGGCCTTGCAAGGTGGCAAGGTCAGCACTTAAATATGAGAGAGCTTGGCCAGCAGTAGTCGGGTGGAAGATGGATTGTTGAGTTATTGTCGTATGGCCTGGGAGGGGGCCACAGGGAAAGGGGACTCTGCTTCTAGGCTGGAGGCTGAAGTCAAGGAAGCTGAAAGAGGGAGCTCCACTATTCCGCAGTCTACTGGAAAAGGGCAGCCTGCTTAGCCTGGAGGAAAACTAGCCCAGCAAAAAGTCTGAAAGCAGTTTTATCCACAGCGGCAGGAAACAAGGGACAGCATGATTACCTGTACACCCCCAGGGCTTACAAGGGAGAGGGCTGCCAGGTGCAATACCCAGCAAGTTCTCCCGGGGACAGTGCTAAGCACTGTTCTGGAATCCCTTGTTCTGGTATACTCTTCATGGCAGCCTAGATGGGTGGTTTCCAGCTGGGGTCTGAAGAGGTTCATCCAAAGGGACTTGGTGCTCCTTTACGTGATATGGTAACTGATCTGTTAAGAAACTGATGCCACTCCAGAGGGAGTAGAGTCCAGGATCCATTCTTTTTTTTTGTACAGAAAATAGGAAGCTGTCCTCAAAGTCTGTTCTACTAGTCAAGTTGGGCATCTATATACCTAGACTGTATCCAAGTTGTTTCCCCTAAATAAAACAACAAAACAAGTCCATGGACTGTTACTGACTGTGAAGGAATTTTGGAAAATACATGTGTCCTGGCTGTGCAGGAAAAAGGGGGACTCAAAATCCAGTGGCTTCTTAGGGGGTAGCGCTACTCTAGTTACATGAAAAAGAAGAGGCAACATGTGATAGGCATGTGACAGCCCATTTATCAAATTCAAGAGCACTCCTGCATGTGGCAGTTAGGCCATGGCTACTCGATAATCACTCTTCTCCCCCTCATCCTTATCCATGGTTGAGATCTTTATACTTTATACTTCATGCACTTAAATCAAAGTAATAATAATTAAAAAAAATAACACTTTAAAAATGTTATACTAAATGTTGTATAGGTATATATGTTTAAAGACATTATTTTTGTGATAGTTGTTTTTTAATTGACTAAAGTTGTTCCAAGCTCTTTAATGTTCTTTTTCAATAGAGACATTTCTTTTAGTCCAGTGTTGTGTGAGAACCAAAAAATAAAATAAAATTGTAGCTGTGGGATTTTCCTGTACAAATGTTTCTCTTGAAAATGACTGAGTTATCCAAGAAAACATGCCAGGTCAGCAGAGCACAACTACTTGCTCCATGAAAGTGAAAGCACATTTCAAGTGTCGTATTAGTCAATACTATTTTCCGCTACAATGCATTTGAATGTTTAGGACGATTGAGATTTGTAAAATAGCTTTGCCCTCCTAGTCTCAAAACAATTATTAGCTTCTTCTGGGCTTATTTCGTAACATAAACATTAGCAAGCCATGTCCAATAACCCGTAACGAACAAGCAACATTAATCATCTTTAAGGGCCAGTTCACACTAGGAATCGATTGTGATTCACATGTGGTTCAGTGCAGTGCAATTTGAGCCAATTTATTTTGAATCTGCTCAAATCACACTACATCGCACCAAAAGTAAGGCATGCACTACTTTTGGAAACGCACTGTAACTGAATCGCATGGTTCTTCTGTACCAAGTAATCCGGTGCAGGCAAAAGCAATGCATTTCCAACTTGCGTTTGGTGTGTTGTTAACATTGACACCCATTGCAGATTGCAACTGCAGTGCATTTTGAACACAGTGGAGAAATGCGCAAAGAACGTGGGTTTCCCGCACCACATTCCTGTGTAATTGGGACCTATGTTACTCCACCTTTTTGATCTAAAACATATTTATAATCACAGCTATGAACATATTTACATTCCTGTGGTGTTATTTTTCTGTTTAAAGTTTCCTACCTAGCAAAATAGCAACTTCAAAAGGCACAGTAAAAGTATTAGGCAGCCATTCTCCTAATAAAAGGCCATGGTTGAAGATTTAATAAAAGATCCAGTGCAAGACACACAACCTGAACTCTGCTCGTGATGCTTTTCCCTCATATTGAGGTTATTAATGGAGTGTATGGGTATAAGTCAGGGGCGGACTGACCATTTGGAAACTCGGGCACTGCCTGAGGGCCCGGGGTCAGTAGGGGGCCCCATAAGATGCCCCTGGTACCTTTTCCATGGGATTTTTTGAGTTTGGGCAAGGATTCAGGGGCCCCATGATCCCCTATTGCCCGGGGGCCCCATGAGTTGTCAGTCCACCCCTGGTATAAGTACTTAACTTTTGACTTTAAAAAGGTGTTTTTTACTGCACTGATATACAGTATGTCTTCAATCTATGTCTTTTTAATGGAGACATCTCCTGCTTCTGCCTGTACTAGGCAAATGATTCGCTGGTCTGTAATCCAAATGTGCTTGTTTAGCTGTAACTTACTGACAGCATCCAGCCTGCAAAACCTCTAATTGTCTGTATATCTCCAGAACAAAGACAGGTAGGAATCTGAAATAAAACTTGCTAAAGTCATGTAGAAGAGTGGATTGGGAAGGTTTAGTTGAACAAATAGTTTAACTTGAATTGTTTTGACTGCTCTAAACTAATGACAGCTGATATCTGTTTGCTATGAGTTATTGAACACTATTATATGCTAATATACTTACTGAAACCATTATGTAAATTTAAATCTAAGTACAATATAAATATAAATACACATTCAATATAAAATAAATATAAATAAAAATAAAAAACATTAAATATAAATTAAATATAAGTACAAGTATTGCTACAGAAAGTAGCAAAACTTGGGCAGCACAGTGGCTGAATGCGTAGCACTTCTGCCCCACAATACTAGAGTCGTCAGTTTGAATCCCAACCACGGCACCACCAGCCTGGAGTTTGCATGTTCTCCCTGTGCCTGCGTGGGTTTCTTCCCACACTCCAAAGACATGCTGGTAGGTTAATTGGCTCCTGTCTAAATTGTCCCTAGTATGTGTATGTATGAATGTGAGTTAGGGACCTTAGATTGTACGCCCCTTGAGGGTTAGGGACTGATGTGAATGTACAATAAATGTGTAAAGCACTGTGTAAATTGACAGCGTTCTATAAGTACCTGTAATAACAATAACTAAAAAATGTGGCAGATTGTGTACACCATAATTATTACCTTATTAACAGGAATGTATCCTTTGGAATCAATGGTGACCCCACTCTGTTTCAGGAAGCCTGTAGTAGGACTTGCACCTAGGAATACAGTTTTGTTTGCAGTGAACCATTTTTTTTCTCACAGATTCCTATGTTGAATATTTATTACATCAGCAAAGAAAACATCACTGACCAAATCTCCAACCTAATGATGGTTATCAATATTCCTTTGGATTGACAAACCATTTTTCTTGTCTAGATGGGCAAGGTTAGAAGATTTAAGAGACACTGCCCTTACCTCATATTTTTCCTGCTTAACCACTTCAAGTACGGACACTTTCCAGGCCAATTTTCAGCTTTCAATGCTATCACAGTTTGAATGACAGTTGCGTGGTCATGCAACACTGTACCCATATGAATTTTTAAGCATTTTTTTGAGACAGATAAAACTTTATTTTGGTGGTATTTATTCACCACTGGGATTTTTATTTTTTTGCTATATAAATGAAAAAGTCCAAAAATGTTGAAAAAAAAGTGTTTTTCTTATAAAATTTTGCAAATAAATAATCTTTCTTCATAAATCTTGGCCAAAATGTATTCATCTATCTTTTTAGTAAAATAAATTAACCCAAATTAGTTTTTAACCAAAACTTATAATTTTTCTAAATTTTCTTTTACATTTTTATTTTATTTTTTATATTATTATTTTGTTTTTTGTTTTTTTTACATACTGTCACCCTAGCAGTACCGTGTCACCATAGTGACACTGTACTACATGTGGGGGGTGATGAAATTTTTTTTTCTTGTTTTACACGGATTGCTTTCACACCCATAAAGGCTGTAAAAGCAATCATTTCTCCTTCTCTTGCATTCTTGCAGCCATTGAGAAATACTGTGAGAGCTGTGATTGGTCACAGCTTGTCACATGGTACAAGGCTGTTGTGAATAGCCTTGTACCATGTGACCTCTGTGATCATTCACAGATTTCACTAGTAGTAAGCAATGATGTCAGGAAGTGGCATCTTGTTTACTACTATTCATGTGATCACTGATTGACCAATCAGTGATCACATGAATTGGGACCTCACACAAAGGTCCCGTACAGAAATCGGTGTTCCGCTGTGTCCTCCAGATACAGCAGGCACCAATCGTGGTGCCGCACGCTCCCAGGGAGCGCACACAAGCAATGGATAGGGGGGGCTTTTAGAAACGTCCACCCACTCTTGCAGCGCTCCCATCTGGCTGTTTATGTACATGGGCCGGATAGGAAGTGGTTAAACAAAAGTGGTCACTGTTGGCATCACATGTCATACTTTTATTAGGCCCCTGTTCTTTCTCCTCAAAGACACCCAGTGACAGAGGTGAACACTATAGAAAGTCACAAGAATCTTCTAGGTCCACATCCCCTCCTAAACAATGATGAGGCCGGCAGTGAAATCCAGCAAAATGGAAGGCAGGGAAGGTTTACGTGGTTGTGGAGTAAGATGTGAGAGAGTATAAGGTAATATTACCAAAACAAATAAATTGGCCATCTTGCTGGAAAAAAATGAGGAAACGGTTGATTTACTAACGGCAAATAGGCTTTTCACTTTGCAAGAGAGTTTTCTCTTAGCCCAAATGATGAGGTGAAAGCAGAACTCTACTCTCTTAATCATTATTGACTATTTGTAATCCTTAGGCTGCTAGAATTCGTAAATAGATAGGGAAGTATATCATATTTACTTATTCTAAACTTCTTTTTTAACATTTTTTAGTTACTTCCTGGTTTCCAAACTTTGACAAATTATGTCATACATATCAGGAATCTTCAGGAGGGGAGGAGGGGTTAAATCAGCTAAGCACACCCTCCTGCCTACATACCTGAGCTAAGGGCAGATGGATTCCAGAAGTAAATGCTACATGAAACATCTGCCCTTACTCAAGACATGCTAAGGGGATATTTTTCAAAGTGAATTCTCAGGAGGCATAGATGGATGGATGAGTTTGCTTTGAATATTAAAAATGAATTAAATAGAGTTTTTGGATGGCGGTGCTCAGATTCAGTGTAGTTCAGCTGACTGCAGTCATCTAATAATGTGCAAAAATACTGTTTATTTTCCTATGATCTGATTGCAAAAGCTTTGCTAGTGAATTTACACCGTATTCACTAAGCTAAGGGAAAATTATTTTGCAAATGGAAAATTCCTTTGCCAAGTGAACAGTCTATTTGCCTTTAGTAAATCAATCCCACCATTGCTATCCATTTATTAAGTACCCCCATCACATAATAAGTACCATCGGAAAAATTGCACAAATACAGGGATAGACTTTGAATGCTGACCAGCAAGCTCAATTATCTCTATAACTTCACAAATCCAACCTAACAAATCTGTGTGTGTTCCAAAAATGCAAAACATATAGCTGGGAAGCATGGTGTATTTAGGAGTTAATGCTATGGCATTTAACACATAGGGGCTGATTTACTAAAGGCTAAGTTAAAGGGAACTACACTGCACTTGAGCACCACAAACCAAAAACACTATTTAATTCATATTTAATAATCAAAGCAAACTCATCCAACCATCCACGTCTCTATGGCTTATTTTGATGAGAAATCACTTTGAAAAACACCCACTAGCATTTCTGGCTGTGGTCATCTTGAGTAAGGTCAAATGACTCAAGTAGCGTTTACTTCCTGAAATCCATCTGCCCTTAGCTCATGCATGCTTATGTGATAAAAACCCTTCTTCCCTCCTGAAGGCACCTGAGATGTATAATGTTATTTGCCTAGGCCAGAAACTTGGAATAACTAAAGACATGTAAAAAAAGTTAAAACAAGTAAATATGATATACTTTCTTATCTGTTTACCAATGTTAGCAGCATAATAAAAATAGTTAATGTTGATTGAGAGAGTGAGGTTCCACTTTAAGGGAAGATTCCCTTGCTAAATGATCAGCATATTTGCCTTTAGTAAATCAGCCCCAATATCTGTCGGTGAATAAAGGTTTTGGCTGGAGCGGATGACAATCTGATGTTTATAAGTGACCAGCCACACCTTAGGTTAGAAAACCTATGTGAAAGAAAGCCATCAATTCAATAATAATTATACCTTTTTACTGTAAAAAAAATATATAGATATACAAAAACAGCAATCAGGCATTATGATGTTTCAAGGGCACACAAGATTTTTTCTCAAGGCATAATTACTATCGGAATGCTGGCTTTCCCTTACATTTGCTACTATTGGTGCCAATGCAAGGGACTGGCATGCTTGCAGAATGGACTTTCCTTCAGGTAGGAAAACCCATCCCAATTGCTAGGGGTGTTGATAGCATCCTAAAAGGCCTTTATTCTGTCATACACATCTTACCTATTCCAATCACACATACATCAGCTCTGAGGACCTTTCCACTCTTCAGCACAACTTCTTTCATCTAAAAAGCAAGGTATTTAGTGATTAAAAACTTAAGAATTTTTTCTTTGGATTAAAAAACAAAATGAATTTTCAGTGTAGCATAAATTAACCACTATGGCCTAATTATATGTCAAATACATTATATCACATTCCACATATCTATAAGGAAGGTTGAGTTTTCAAGGGGGAACTTTTGTACAATTGAAGGAAACCTATACTCATGAAATATGTAGCTTGCAGTTGTCGGACCCCTGTCTGGATGTTATGCTAATCCAAAAGCTTCTAAATGAAAAAGAATATAGCCATCTTCCGAATTTAAATTTAGAAAAGAATAGAATAAAACAGAATAGAAAAGAAAAGGAATAGAACAAAATAGAATAAACAGAATAGAATAGACTAGAACAGAATGGAAAAGAATACAGTAAAACAGAAAAGAATAGAATAAAAGAATAGAGTAAAACAGAATAGAAAATAAAAAACTTGAATAAAATAGAATATAAAATAAGGAAATAGAAAAGAATAGAATAGAAACTAAAAGCATAGAATATATTAAAACAGAAAAATATAACCATCTTCCGAAATTCAAATTTCAAATAGAATAAATACAAATTCAAATGCCAATTCGATACTTTTCGACTTGGTCGAATTGAATTAAAAAATAAATAAAGTAAACTAATTCCAAACACAAATTAAACAAATTTAACAAATGCAACTAAACGAAAAAAATATTTGAATAACGAATCGAAACAAAATAATTTTTTGTTCTGCACATGTCTAGTTGCTACAGTAAAAAAGAGAGAGGATGAGTGTGAGAAAGGGTCGTCAGTTCAAATCCCAACCACAGCACTACCTGCCTGCAGTTTGCATGTTCCCCCTCTGCCTACGTGGTTTCCTCCGGGTACTCCAATTTCCTTCTACACTCCAAAAGACATGCTGGTAGGTTAATTGGCTCCTAGCTAAAAGGGCGCTAGTATGTGTATGTATGAATGTGGGACCTTAGATTGTACACTCCTTGAGAGTTAGGGACTGATGTGAATGTACAATATATATATATATATATATATATATATATATATATATATAAAGCACTGAATAAATTGACGGCGCTATATAAGCACCTATACTAAAATAAAAAAGTACAATGCTTTGATGAAAAAAATCAGCTGAAACTTTCATCTACAACTACTCACAAAACAAATGGCAGTGTCCTGATAGGAAGATTACCCTATTTCCCTTCTTTTCCTTTCTTGGAGACACAAGATAAGAGAGAAAATCTCCCCAATTTTCACTGAAACATTTCTCCCCATTGGTAGATTGTCCCCCTCTTACTCTCTGGAGAGCTCTAAAATTTTGAGTTTCCTTACTTTTTGTTTTGATGACAACAATCAGCAGGGCAAAGAGCGGTGACTCCAAGAGCAATAAAAACTTTAAAAACACTTTAAAGGTTCTTTAATTCATATAATAATTATGACAGTTTATCATTTTAGTCACAAACTTCTTGTCTTTCTTTTTCGAAGTAGATAAGAAGCAGATATGTAAATAGATAGCGGCCTTATTTTAGTATTTACCTTTCCCTCTTGTTCTCTTAGTTCAGAAACTTCAGTCTGCATGTAAAACTTCACCCGGTTACTTTCAAATACCTGAAATAAATAGATACATTATTTTGTAAAGTATATAGGAGTTGCCTGGCAGGTAGTTTATCAAGCTGCCTGACCCAATCTATGGACCCCTTTTACATTGCCCAGCCATTTCACCTTCTACTGTTATGACATACAGTATAATGATCAAACACTATTCTCAGTGTTATTTCCTAAACATTCACAAATGCAATTTGTGCCAACCACAGCACTGCGAAGAAAAACCACCAGCCTATGTTTGTGTGCACTACTGATTAGCCAAACATGGCAATAACAAATGATGAAACTAATTCAGCATCAATGTTTATGTGTTTTGCTACATTGCTTATTCAGCAAAGGTTTATGGCCAAGGAAAGAATGTGTAGACTCTGCAATGAATGTAAGAGATAATCCACCCAAGACTGTTAAGATCTCGTATAAATACATTGTTTAAAACAATTAAAGGAACACTTTTTAATCAGAGTATAGCATCATGTCAATTAAGCTCCTGGGATATTGATCTGGTCAGTTAATTAGCAGAGGGGGTTGTTAATCAGTTTCAGCTGCTTTGGTGTCAATGAAATTAACAGGTGCACTAGATGGGCACCAATGCGACAACCCCCAAAAACAGGAATGGTTTTATAGGAGGAGGCCACTTTTCTGACTGTTTTTCACTAGTTTTGCATTTGGCTAGGGACAGTGTCACTACCGATAGCAGGAGGCGATACCTGGACCCTATAGAAGTTGAATAGGCAGTCCAACTCCTCCAGAATGGCACATCAATACGTCCCATTGCCAGAAGGTTTGCTGTGTCTCCCAGCACAGTCTCAAAAGCATGGAGGAGATTCCAGGAGACAGGCAGTTACTCTAGGAGATCTGGACAGGGCTGTAGAAGGTCCTTAACCCAGCAGCAGGACCGGTATTTGCTCCTTTGTGCAAGGAGGAACAGGATGAGTACTGCCACAGCCCTACAAAATGACCTCCAGCAGGCCACTAGTGTGAATGTCTCTGACCAAACAATCAGAAACAGACTTCATGAGGGTGGCCTGAAGGCCCAAATGCAGTGATCCAATAATCACTGCATTTGCTTTTACGTGTACCACTCTCTATTGACAGTCCCCTACCATATTGGTATTTCTACCTAAACGATTATTACCTTCATAATCGCAAGCCCAACTTTTTCTCCTAGAAACTTCTTAAAAGGAATATTCTCCCAATTCCACCACAGACACAGAGTGAGCTTTTTCACAGAGATAGGCTGCAACTTCCATCCCTAGTAAATGTAAAGATTACAATAATAACAAAAGCATGAACTGACATCGACAGGCTTATTCAACAATAATCTTCAACCTACTATAATACATAGCATCTATTTAGGTTTTAGTTTTTTGAACTCAGATAGTTGACTAGTAGATTTCTGATCTGACATCTGACCTATCATTGACGAACCATCAACACAGCCCTTTACTGATTATGGACAATTGGCATGCTACACCGCCCCAAAGCAATAATAATCAGTTTTTTTTAATTTAGCTAACATCAAAAACATAAAAATCAGCACAAGAAACATAACTTACAGGTGTTATGATGTGTTCCTTGTGCTGATTCTACTACTCTAGGATAAATCTTCCTCTGTCCTATCCCCTCCCCCACACAACCCTGCCGCTGTCATCTTTTATTGCAGTCGGGGTTAAAACAACAAAAGGGCTGACAGGAGCTCTCATCAAGAGACCTTGACTATGCCAGCCCCTTCCTGCCAGATTCAGCCTGCCTGGGAGCTACAGTTGTGGCCAAAATTATTCAACCCCCACTGAAATTGAGTGTTTTGGCCAGTTTGACATTGCTTTTGATCATTCAGTCATCTTGCTTACATTTACATTAAAGAGGCACTTGTAGGTCAGACAAATATAACATAACAGTTATAATGAAATAACCACAAATGTCTTTTCTGTGCTCACAGCATTATCAGTTTTATTCAACCCCCAAGTGACATTCAATCTTAGTACTTAGTACAGCATCCTTTTACAGTTATAACAGCTTTTAAACGTGAAGCATAGCTTGACACAAGTGTCTTGCAGCGATCTACGGGTATCTTCGCCCATTCTTCATGGGCAAAGGCCTCCAGTTCAGTCACATTCTTAGGCTTGCGCACTGCAACTGCTTTCTTTAAGTCCCACCAGAGGTTCTCAATCGGATTTAAGTCTGGTGACTGCGATGGCCACTCCAAAATGTTCCAGCCTTTCCTCTGCAACCATGCTCTAGTGGACTTGGAGGTATGCTTGGGATCATTGTCCTGTTGAAAGGTCCAACGTCTCCCAAGCCTCAGGTGTGTGACGGACTGCATCACGTTTCCATCCAATATCTCCTGGTACTGAAGAGAATTCATGGTACCTTGCACACGCTGAAGCTTCCCTGTACCTGCAGAAGCAAAACAGCCCCAAAGCATGATTGACCCTCCACCATGCTTCACAGTAGGCAAGGTGTTCTTTTCATCATAGGCCTTGTTCTTCCTCCTCCAAACATAGCGTTGATCCATGGGCCCAAACAGTTCTAATTTTGTTTCATCAGTCCACAGAACACTATCCCACAACTTTTGTGGTTTGTCCACATGGCTTTTGGCATACTGCAGTCGACTCTTCTTATTCTTTGGAGACAGCAAGGGGGTACGCCTGGGAGTTCTGGCACGGAGGCCTTCATTACGCAGTGTGCGTCTTATTGTCTGGGCTGAAACTTCTGTACCCACATCTGACAAATCTTTTCTCAGTTCCTCAGCAGTCACACGGGGACTTCTCTCCACTCTACGCTTCAGGTAGCGCACAGCAGTCGAAGTCAGCATCTTCTTTCTGCCACGACCAGGTAGCGTTTCAACAGTGCCCTTTGCCTTGAATTTGCGAATGATGCTTCCTAAGGTGTCTCTTGGTATGTTTAACATCTTTGCAATCTTCTTATAGCCATTGCCCTTCCTGTGAAGAGAAATCACCTCTTCTCTTGTCTTCCTGGACCATTCTCTTGCCTTCACCATGTTTGTAACCACACCAGTAAATGTCTAGAAGGAGCTGAGTATCACAGTCATTTTAAAGCTGCCTAATTGGTGCTTATTATGCTTGATTGCTGCTCGGTGACATCCACAGGTGTTTTCAATACCTGATGGAAAGCACCTGTATGAACCTCTGTTCTTCAGAGTGGTAGTCTTTAAGGGGTTGAATAATTGTGGCAATGAAGAAACCACATAAGAACCATTTACTACTGTATTACATAAACAATTGATGTCATTTTAGTTGCATTTGGGTAGTTACAACGTCCTTGTAGGATTTGATTCTGAATACAATTCCAAATGTACACTATAGTCCCTAAACCCCTTTACAGCATTGGGGGTTGAATAATTTTGGCCACAACTGTATACTAGAGCTTCTATTAATAACATGGGATCAATCATCCATCCATCCATCCCCATTCAGAGATCATTTTTCATTCATAGAATCAGTAGTACAGCTCCTATGAATGGCGGATATGGCAGGAAAGAGTGGGCATAGTCAAATTGTCTTGATGAGAGTTGACAACCCTTTAGTTGAATTAACCCCCCTTATCTTGAGAAGAATATGGGGGGAGGTAAGACAGAGGAGGATTTCTCCTAAAAGAAGAAGAATCAGCATAAGGGACACATTATAATAACTGCAAGTTATGTCTCTCGTGCTGATTTTTATGTTTTTGTTTTTAGCTAAACTTGGGCTTTAAGTATTTTCAGTAATTGATTTAATCAGTCACAGAATAGCTTCTTTATCCCTTAATCCTTTCCTATGTTATAGTTTAACCTCCCTGGCGGTATGATTATTTCAGATTTTTGGTGCTGAAAGCGGTACCATTTTTTTGCATGGAAATATGTATTTTTTTTATTGTAGGCTGTAATTTTTAGGAAAAACTCACTGAAATCTGTCCGAACAAGAGTCTAGTAAACATCCCGGGTATCATATAATTTGAAACACAAAATCATAAATTATAATTTAATAAATAATCATAAAAATAATATAAAAATAATAAAAAATTTAATTCAATAATATAATCAAACCAAAAACACTGAAATGTGAAATAGAGCGCCAAGTTCGCACATTGCTGAGCTCAGTCGCAAAATCGTTTTCAGTGTCTGATGACGAATTTCCCCCACGAATCATTATCACTCAATTCTGCAAGTGGTTCTGATTTACTATCGCTGTTCTCTAGCTGATCTAAACCGCTTTTGACCTAAAGGGACACTTTTTGGACGCCATGGACATTTCTCAGTTTCCAAGCAGAAAGAATAGACAAAATGCAGGCAGGGCGCAGGGCAAAGCACTAGGGACAATATGTATGTGAAATTGGTTGAGACAGCAATGTTTTACTAGGTAAAATGTAAAAAAAAAAAAAAATGACATTTTTTAAAATTTTTAAATTTCCCGCCGCCGCCGGCGGCTGCGGCGCCCGTACGTCCCGACGTCACAGGGACAGGACACAGAAGCCGGATGCCGGCATCGGCCGGAGGAGATGGCCGGGGACGCTGCAGGGGACACATCGTGGGAGCGCAGGGTAAGGTAAGTGAAGAACACTTGCCGGAGCAGTGCCTCAGGGTAAGCCCAGTGTAGCTCGGGGTTACCGCTTTTGGTACTGAAATGTTACCCCGAGCTACACTCGGGAATACCGCCAGGGAGGTTAAGCTGGTGCCATGACCTCTGCTGCAGGTTTCCTGTTTCAGGGTGGTTCCTTTCTCTTGTAGCGTCCTATGGAACCACCCTTGCAGGCAGGGACTAGAGTCTCACTACAGTGTGAATATCAATAGAAACACACAACCCTGTACCCTAGGATGTCAAGGCACTCTCCTGCTCTCCCCTCCACCACCTCATTTTTCTAAATGAATAGATTTCACTGTGCACTGTATTTCTTTTGTTTGAAGACTGGAAGTTCAGGGAAGCCTCACTGAGATTGCAGGAATCAGACGTATTGAAAGCTGTAAACCATGACGTGCCGGGGTAATAATTTTAACAAATAATTTTTGAGGGAATGTTTATTTTATTGTGCTCAATGTTTAAGTTGAAAAAAACACTGAGGGTTTAACCTGCTGCTGTCCAGCCGCAGTGTTTTTACTGCGACAGGGCGGCACCACTGCACAGAACCATGTTTTAAAACGTCATTCTGCAAAACTGGTAGGGGGCACGTGCGAGGCGCACGACCGTCCTACCCCCACCGCCGATCGTGGCCACGGGTGTCAATCACCGGGTCCTGGCCGGTCATTACCCGCCGGGTCCCGGCGATTACCGGCAATCACTGACAGGGAGCAAGGCTGCAGTGTTTACACTGCAGCTCTGCTCCCTGTCAGTTCCGAGCACAGGAGTTTATCTCTCGGGATCAGTGTGTTCCTGTTAAGCACACACCCCCGCTCCCTTGTAAAACACTCCCCTCACACAGTTAACCCTTTTATTGCCTAAAAAAAGTTAACCCCTTCCTCCCCAGTGCCATTAGTACAGTGTCAGTGTTTTGTTTTTTTTTGCACTGATCACTGTATTGGTGTCACTGGGGATGTCAATGACCCCAAGTCAGTTTCCTCCAGTGTCAGAATGTCCACCGCAGTCCTGCAGTCCCGCCATAAGTTGCTGATCGCCGCCATAAGTCGCTGATCGCCGCCATAAGTCGCTCATCGACGCCATTATTAGTAAAAAAAAAATTAAAATCCAGTACCTATACCGCCATTTGTAGACGCTATAACTTTCACGTAAACCAATTAATTTACATGTATTGGGATTTTTTTTTAGCAAAGACATGTCGCAGAATGCATTTTGGCCAAAATTTATGACAACATTTGATTTTCAAATTTTTTTTACTGGACATGTTTTATAGCAAAAAGTCCAAAATATTGGTTTTTTTTTCTCAAAATTGTCAGCCTTTTTTTTTATAGAGCAAAAAAATAAAAACCGCACAGGACGTAAATTTAATTTGGGTGCCAAGTTGCATGACCGGGCAATTGTCAGTTAAAGTAACGCAGCGATGTAACACAAACCGCTTCTGTAACCTCTTCCTGACAGCCCCACAGCAGAAATACTGCTACAGAGCAGCATGGGTGCACAAAATCACATATATATATATATATATATACGTGATTCGCGCTCCCGCAGTGTTCACACCCCTCCCAGATAGCGTCAGATTGCCCGTCAGTACACCAGTCATCACATTTAACCCCTTGATTGCCAGGAACACGCTCATGCACAATAAACCTCCATTGCTAGTATAGTGTCTGAACGGATCAATATCTTTGATCAGATCAGCACTACACCAGCGTTCACATTGGTATAGTGTCCCCAAAAAGCAGCGTTAGTGGGATTAGCCCCGGCACCTGCCAGCACCTGCGTTTAGCCCCTACGCTTTCCCCCCCCCTTCTCCCCCAGCAAGTGCAGTGTCAGTAGGTCACTGTCACTTGATACCTTGCACACAAAACCGCAGTTTTGGTAGAATCAGGCCTGATCTCTGTTAGCACTTGTCAGTAAATTTTGATGACTCTCATATGCAGCAGAGTGCCAGTACTAGTGCCACGCTACCTTTTGGTGAACTGGCGAGTACTAGTGGCCTAGTACATCCTGGTCTTTCACATACCCTCTTAGATTAGCTCCCAGGATCAGGCCCTCCTAACCCTCTTGTATTGAACTATATTGTTCTGTATTGTCTCCCGTTATATTGTAGCGCTGAGCAAACTGTTGGTGCCATAAATCCTGTATAATAATAATACCAGCACTGCAGTATGACTTGGCGACGTGGTGAGTACCATATGTGCAGTACAAGCTGGTGCAGTGGCAAGCACAAGTATTGTCCAGCAACCACCAAGAATTCGGACACAGGCCTTTAGAGCCCCTAATATCTCTTCCGGATGTGCTTGCAAATCCCGATTGGCAGCCCACAAATTCTGCAGCACCCGTACTTCCCCCATTCACTGCCCAACCCGGAATTCAGGTGGAAATAGCAAATTTAACTCCTCCCCTTGATTTTTTGAGCTGTTTTTCACGGAATATCTGTATGCGTTGATTGTGGATCAAAGCAATTTATATGCACAAAAATGTATTGCCGCCAACCCAAATTCAAGCCTTGCCAGACCAGTCGCATGGAAACTCATTACAGTTTTCGAATTTACATTTTTTTTGGCCCTAACCCTCAACATGGGCATTACTAAAAGAAATTAATTGCGGTTGTATTGGTACCCGATTCATCATATGCCCATGTTCTCTGCTGCCATGGCCAGGCATAGATATGAGAGTATAATGTGTTTTATGCATTTCAACGACAACACACTCTGGGTGTTGTCCTCGGGGTGTTGTCCTCGGGGTGACCCTGAATTTGACCGGCTCCACAAAATTCAGCCCCTTGCAAATCACCTTAACCAAAAATTTGCAGATGTCTATACTCCCCAGCAAAACATCTGCATTGTTGAGTCCCCGATTCATTTTTCTGGCCGCCTTGCATTCAAACAATTTCTCCCCAGCAAGCGTGCCAGATATGGGGTCAAGATGTAGAAGACCTGTGAGAGGACAACAGGCTATACTTATAAGTTTCGGATTTATGAGGGAAAAGATAGTCACGTGGAGCCCCCCAGATGCCCCCAGATGCCCAGACTACATGGGGAGCAGTGGCAAGATAGTTTGGGACTTGGTGTCATCATTTTTCCATATGGGGTAGCACTTATACGTGGACAATTTTTATTCAAGTGTGCCACTATTTAAACATTTGTTCAATCTTGGAACTGGCGCTTGTGGCAAAGTGTGACCTAATGTGTGCCCACCATTAGAAGTGGGTGGATGCAGGGAGGTATATTCTAATGGTGGGCATACCACACACTTTTTCTGGCAGAGATTTCTTCTCTTTTTTTCATTCGGTCCACAGGCTGCATACATATTTTATGGATATTTTTATTTTAGAAAATATTGGGTTTTTTTTTTTTTTTTAATTTTCTTCAAACATTTTCTGTTTATAGCGCCAAAAATAAAAAGTGCACAGGTGATCAAATACCACCAAAAGAAAGCTCTATTTGTGTGGAAAAAAAGGACATACATTTTATTTATGTACCGTATTGCATGACCGCGCAATTGTCCGCTAAACTGACGCAGCGCTGTGTAGCAATAAAATGGCTTAAATTACAGTATCTATACCATAGTTTGTAGACACTATAACTTTCACACAAAGCAATCAATATACACTTATTGGGATTTTTTTACCAAAAACATGTAGCAGAATACATTTTGGCCTAAAGTTATAACTAATTTTGAGTTTACTATATATTCTTTAGAGCTGAAAGTAAAAAATATTGTTTTTCTTCAAAACTTTTGGTATTTTTTTGTTTATAACGTGAAAAAATAAAAAGCGCACAGGTGATCAAATACCACCGAAAGAAAGCTCTATTTGTGTGAAAAAAGGACGTAAATTTCATTTGGGTGCAGCATTGCATGGCCGCGCAATTATCAGTTGAATTTGTGCGGCGATGAGTAGCAAAAAGAGGCCTGGTCAGGAAGGGGGGGTAAATCCTCAGGAGTGGTTAATACTACAATGTACTTAAATCTAAATACTTTGGGCATTGCAGTACACCCCTCCTCCCCCACAGCTCTCTGGCTGCATTTACTGGCAATTCTTGTTTTATTTACATAGGACCAGACCTTTATGCTCCTATGCAAATTGATACAGAACAGCTTCTTCAGTATCAGGAACTGTTACAATGCAGTAATGTTACATTATAAAAAAAATCCATATCTAAAATGACAGCTCAAATATTGCTGTCCTTACAGATTCACTTTATGACCAATTCCAACAGCTGCAAATAATCTAGTTCTGAAAGTTTCTCTGTCATATTCTTAAAAGAATATGATTAATTGTCATTTTTTATATACTTTATAATTTTATTGTATGACAAAAACAAAGGAAGATCAAAACGATAAAAAACAGAGAAGACACATTGCTCAATTCCGATATTGAACATAGGCAGGGTAGCGTATAGCAAGGAAGTTCATAGACATACATTCATATGGATGATATAATTAAAAGAGAGCTTGGACATGTGGTACCCAAGTATCGAAATGTCTAACAGGTGAAATAAAAGTCCAGGAGCCAATTGACAGGTATTTTAACTGATAAAGGTAAACAGAAGCAACCTAAAGCTGTCAATGTTAGACTGCCAGTGTGACAATCCCGGATCTACATGCCTGTTGAAGGAGTTTCTTCTATTAATACAATATGATATGCAGTAATTGGCACTGTAAAGTGTTTTAAATTAGTATGTCTCTAGCTATAATACTCTTCATACAAACATAATTGGTTAGCCATAGCACAACTCACCTAAGAAAGATGCTCCCACAATTACAACATTCCTGTTACTTGCCAGCTTCACCACTCTGTTGGCATCTTCTGGGGTTCGAATTGTGAAAACATTGTCCAGTTCTTTTCCTTTACATTTCAGAGTTTTAGGGCTGTGGGGAATGAAGCTTTTTACTACCTGAGCTAGAATACCTTTCACATACTCAGCCATTCTGAAGTAACAAAACCTACTAAATAAACCAATAGCATTATCAAGCAAAAGCTTTATTTTTACTTCTTTTGGATAGAGTGTTGATGGATTCAAGCCACTGTATGGTTTTTAGTGTTGTCTGTCTCCCGCTGGGGGTGATTCACCTACCCTAATTTTGATGGCCACTTTCACTTGTACTGAAATTGTCAAGAAATCAAAACATTGAGTTGTCAGGAAATAGAGGTGAAATATTCCAATGAGACCCCTGTTCCAGTGACTACTGTCTAAATTTGGTGTGTCTAGGAAGTTGTCAAAAAATAGAAGGATGTCTTCCAATGAGACATCTGTTCTGGTAACCACTGTCTAAGAGAAGATTTTTCTTAAAGTTGGGTTATTTTAATGTGTACATTTATCAATGCCTAAATAGATTAAAATATAGGGATTAAAATTGTTGCATGTGCCTAAAGCTGAATTTAAGGTTTAGATTTTATTGCATAATTACTTTGGCAGGCTTACTTTAGTAGGGTTATAGTTTGCATACATAAATGTAGGCTTCATTCACAGGCTAAAGGATTGATGGTAAATACAGCAAATACGACATCCTGACTTTAAAGGTTTGAGTTGGGGAACTGGGGTACAAGTTGGAATTTGTATTTACCAAGTATCCAATAATACATGAATGGATGCAGAGTAAGACTACGCAGGTAATTTTTTATTTACTTAGGGAAAACAATCTTGGGTGATACATCATATTCTGTCTATCACATTAGGTAAAGTGCTACAAGAGATGAATTGCTAATAGATCTACCATAATCACACAATGGAATAATTACATAGAAAAAAGCATTTGCAATAATTTTCTCCTCGTCAATGTACATAAATGGCATGTATGAATATTAGAATTCAAGAATAATAAGTGTGATTTTAAATTGGTCTGTTCACCTGTGTCCATGTATAATGCATTCACTGCTGCAGTACATGGACCCAACATTGTGCATTGCAAGACTAGTTCCTCCATATCTCTGAAGCCATCTGCACATCAGCAGCAGTGTGATGATGTGAAAACTTGGTTGGAGAGAAGCCTTTTTTACCTTTTTATTCACTGGTACACAGATCCCTACTGCTCTCTACGATCACCAGCCCTCTTAATTTTTTTAATTGGCATGTAAAATCCATGGCTACTTATGTCTTTCCGCCTAGTTTATGGGCCCACAGTACTCAACTTTCTTCTTTCTGGTACATATACCCACCCACCCCATTTCCAATCTCTCCTTCCCTGCTACATAGACCCACACTGCTCACCTCTCCTCTGATACATAGACCCACACTGCTCACCTCTCCTTCCCTGATACATAGACCCACACTGCTCACCTCTCCTTCCCTAAAATATCAATCCACACTGCTCACCTCTCCCTTTCTGTTACATAGGCTCCCACTTCTCACCTCCCCTTCCCCTGCTACATAGGCCCACACTGCTCTCCCTCCCCAGTACATAGACCCACACTGCTCACATCTCCTTCCCTGATACATAGACCCACACTGCTTACCTCTCTTTCCCTGATACGTAGACCCACACTGCTCACATCTCCTTCCCTGATACATAGACCCACACTGCTTACCTCTCTTTCCCTGATACATAGACCCACACTGCTCACCTCTCCTTCCCTGATACGTAGACCCACACTGCTCACCTCTCCTTCCCTGATACATAGACCCACACTGCTCACCTCTCCTTTTCCGATACATAGACCCACACTGCTCACCTCTCCTACCCTGATACGTAGACCCACACTGCTCACCTCTCCTTCCCCGACACATAGACCCACACTGCTCACCTCTCCTTCCCCGACACATAGACCCACACTGCTCACCTCTCCTTCCCTGATACGTAGACCCACACTGCTCACCTCTCCTTCCCTGATACATAGACCCACACTGCTCACCTCTCCTTCCCCGATACATAGACCCACACTGCTCACCTCTCCTTCCCTGATACATAGACCCACACTGCTCACCTCTCCTTCCCCGATACATAGACCCACACTGCTCACCTCTCCTTCCCTGATACGTAGACCCACACTGCTCACCTCTCCTTCCCTGATACATAGACCCACACTGCTCACCTCTCCTTCCCTGATACATAGACCCACACTGCTCACCTCTCCTTCCCTGATACGTAGACCCACACTGCTCACCTCTCCTTCCCCGATACATAGACCCACACTGCTCACCTCTCCTTCCCTGATACGTAGACCCACACTGCTCACCTCTCCTTCCCCGATACATAGACCCACACTGCTCACCTCTCCTTCCCTGATACATAGACCCACACTGCTCACCTCTCCTTCCCCGATACATAGACCCACACTGCTCACCTCTCCTTCCCTGATACATAGACCCACACTGCTCACCTCTCCTTCCCTGATACATAGATCCACACTGCTCACCTCTCCTTCCCCGATACATAGATCCACACTGCTCACCTCTCCTTCCCTGATACATAGACCCACACTGCTCACCTCTCCTTCTCTGATACATAGACCCACACTGCTCACCTCTCTTCCCCGATACATAGATCCACACTGCTCACCTCTCCTTCCCCGACAACATAGACCCACACTGCTCACTCCTCTCCTTCCCCGATACATAGATCCACACTGCTCACCTCTCCTTCCCCGATACATAGATCCACACTGCTCACCTCTCCTTCCCCGACACATAGACCCACACTGCTCACCTCTCCTTCCCTGATACATAGATCCACACTGCTCACCTCTCCTTCCCCGATACATAGATCCACACTGCTCACCTCTCCTTCCCTGATACATAGACCTACACTGCTCACCTCTTCCTTCCCTGATACCTAGACCCACACAGCTCACCTCTCCTTCCCTGATACCTAGACCCACACTGCTCACCTCTCCTTCCCCGACACATAGACCCACACTGCTTACCTCTTTTCCCCGATACATAGATCCACACTGCTCACCTCTCCTTCCCCGATACATAGACCCACACTGCTCACCTCTCCTTCCCTGATACCTAGACCCACACAGCTCACCTCTCCTTTCCCGATACATAGATCCACACTGCTCACCTCTCCTTCCCTGATACATAGACCCACACTGCTCACCTCTCCTTCTCTGATACATAGACCCACACTGCTCACCTCTCTTCCCCGATACATAGATCCACACTGCTCACCTCTCCTTCCCCGACACATAGATCCACACTGCTCACCTCTCCTTCCCCGACACATAGACCCACACTGCTCACCTCTCCTTCCCCGACACATAGACCCACACTGCTCACCTCTCCTTCCTCGATACATAGATCCACACTGCTCACCTCTCCTTCCCCGACACATAGACCCACACTGCTCACCTCTCCTTCCTCGATACATAGATCCACACTGCTCACCTCTCCTTCCCCGATACATAGATCCACACTGCTCACCTCTCCTTCCCTGATACATAGACCTACACTGCTCACCTCTCCTTCCTTGATACATAGATCCACACTGCTCACCTCTCCTTCCCCGATACATAGATCCACACTGCTCACCTCTCCTTCCCCGATACATAGATCCACACTGCTTACCTCTCCTTCCCCGATAAATAGACCTACACTGCTCACATCTCCTTCCCTGATACCTAGACCCACACAGCTCACCTCTCCTTCCCTGATACATAGACCTACACTGCTCACATCTCCTTCCCTGATACCTAGACCCACACAGCTCACCTCTCCTTCCCTGATACATAGACCCACACAGCTCACCTCTCCTTCCCTGATACCTAGACCCACACAGCTCACCTCTCCTTCCCCGACACATAGACCCACACTGCTTACCTCTCCTTCCCCGATACATAGATCCACACTGCTCACCTCTCCTTCCCCGACACATAGACCCACACTGCTCACCTCTCCTTCCCTGATACCTAGACCCACACAGCTCACCTCTCCTTCCCCGATACATAGATCCACACTGCTCACCTCTCCTTCCCCGATACATAGATCCACACAGCTCACCTCTCCTTCCCCGATACATAGATCCACACTGCTCACCTCTCCTTCCCTGATACCTAGACCCACACAGCTCACCTCTCCTTCCCCGATACATAGATCCACACTGCTCACCTCTCCTTCCCTGATACATAGACCCACACTGCTCAACTCTCCTTCCCTGATAGATAGATCCACACAACTCAACTCCCCTTATCCAGTACACAGACCCTTGCTGCACTTTCCCTGATAAACAGACCCACACTGCTCTCTTCTCTCGTCTTTTCATGTAGACCAACAAAGCTCCTTCCTACATAGACCCACACTACTCAACTCTCCCCCTCCCTCCAATACATAATCCCACACTGTTTTCCTCACCCTCCTTAGTACATTTACCTACACTGCTCACCTCTCCCTCACAGGTACACAGATAGGGATGGGGAACCTACTGTATTACTGGCACTATGTGCTGCTCCTCAACAACTAATATTAAAGTGTAACTAAACATTTTTTTTTTAATGGAGTGCAGAGGGATTAGAACCCCTGTCAGGTTTTTTTTTTTTGCTTTCTGTACCATTATCATTGAAAGTGAAAGTAAAAGGAATTCCCCAATTTTAGGTTGTCCCTAGAAAAGTAATAGAGGCAAAATTTTTCAATGGGGCAATAGTTCTGGTGACCTGGGGATCTCCAAGGAATTCCCTAAATTTTCCAGGATTTCCTCTTACTTCATGTTTGGCTATGGGACAGGAAGTGAAGGGAAATCTCCACAATGGGACATAAATCGCAAAACAAAAATCTGACAGGGGTTATAACCCTTCCTTGCTCTATCCAAAAAATCTTTTTTGGATAGCCTATAGTTTGTATACTATATATAAACTAATAGCAATACTTTTTGAAAGAGAAAAAATTCATAGCAAATGGAAGACATTTCTGAGCATTTACTTAGCCTTATAACAGTAGAAGAACACAGTATTTGTTTATGCATGTTGTGTATGTAACACGATAAGAACATTTGAGGGGCTCCATTTAACCCATTGAAATTATATCTAACATGTAACATTACGTTCGCTGACTGTAGCAGTGTAAAAATGTAATCAGTTCCTTCTTGAATAATGACATTACTGTGATCAGGCGGATTCACTATGCACTACCTGGCAGCTGATTACCAGTTGGCACAGCTTAGTGGACTTTGCAACTGCATAGTAAAACTTTGCCTAATACATGAATTACTACTATACTGTTGTGGCTGTTTGCAAAATATAAACAAACTAAATCTATAGTATACTCACGTGCTTCCAGTAGCAATAAGTAGCTTGTTGTATTCCATTCTAAATCCATCCTTAAAGACAACTGTCTTGTTCTTTGTGTCCAAGTTGACAACCTGAAATCATTTCTGTACAATGTGAATTTAGGATGCAGAGAAGAACTTTAAAGTATCAGTCAATAGCTAATATGATTATGCTCACTATGGTGAAAGGTTAACATAAATATTTGTACTGTAGTACTATGCTGCTGAAAGGGGAACTCATATTTAAACAATAGAATAGCACATTTATATAGCCTTTCCAAACAGCTGGAATAAAAACCCTAAATTGGAGTGCTGATAACTGGCAAATTAGCTAATCTCCTAAACCAGATCATGAAAATCAAGGACATGGAATAAATCAGGTAGCAACTGTTGCAGTTGTCACCAGGCTACTGGGGCTCCTTGGTCATATCCAAGACGATTCCCTGTCAACACTGTCTATGTTGATGGGAGAGTCGAGTTTACAGAAATAAAAAATTTGCTCCATCAATGGCCTGCCTAAGGGAAAAAGTGTGTTATGTACATGTTAAGGCCTGCCAGGGTTGAGGGTGTTAGGTACTGTAAGTAATGAGGTAGACATGCTAACTTCAGGGGAAGTCAGAAAGAATGGACATGTTAAAGCCCAAGTGAACTTTCACTTAAAATCAGCTACAGACATTCCAGGTGCATCAGAACAAAAAGTGTACATAGTGGGATCCTTGCTCTCTTGTGCGGTTAGTGGTCTCATTTCCCAAGATCTCCAATCATTATAAGCTTTTTATCGATTGCATAGCTTTAGCGTCACTGTGTAGAGAACATGTATGTAGGACCTCTGCAGAGGGACTAATGCTTCATTACAGAGGAAGGGTCCTACTCTCCAGTTGATGGCAGGGGACAAGATTTTCTGTGCAGATTGAGGCTCAGGAAACCATTGTTTTAGTGCGTTGGAATGTATTTAGACGATTTAAACTGAGGGTTCAAATAGGCTTTGGTCTTGTAAGTGTGGAATCGAAACTCTCAGTTGGTCTATTAATTTTCAAAAAGCCTTACTATAATAAATACTTCTTCCCAATGTGGCAAATACAATTTTAACTACAGAACGAAGGTGTATCTACCCACGCACCAATAACTATTAGGGTAAAATGTAGCTTTTATTAGAACTTTATTATAAATGTATTTCAAAGACTGTGTATATGCTTATTACTTATAGGGAGGGGCATATGGACTCCAAAAATGGATAAGAGTTAACTGAGGGTCACTTTATAAAAGCTGTCCAAAAAACTAAACTCCCAACAAAAGCTCAATATTAGGAGTTTTCCACAAATTGGGAATATAGACAGGGAACCACAGACAAAAGACCTGTGTCCCTGACAATCAGTTTCAGAATGCAGATGTAACTGATCCTCCAACAGTGAATAGGGAGAAAACAAGATTAAATATAAAACTCCCTGGGCACTGATCCTGTGACATTCCAGACTTATTATCAATCACTCAAATGGGAACATCAAGAGGAACAAGGTACAATAGTCTTAAAGGGAAATTGTTAAGTCCACTTCCCCCTGTGACGCATCCAGGAGGGTGACCTGGACTATGGGTCCTTCCCCCTGTACTCATGATCTGTTTGGCAGCACTTTTTAATTTATTTTTGGGGCCCACATGGTATTATTGGGGGGCTGGAGCCTCCACATGTCTTCATGGTAGCTATAGCTTAGTCCAGTTCACTTTCATGTTTCTATGCAATATGTACAAGCCACGATAAAATACATGTTCTAATTAATGTAATATGTATGTCTTGCTATTTTTACCAAGTATTAACATATTCTGTATTAAATTACTTTTAATTTGAAAATAGACCTCAGAAAGTTACTCACATTATTCACATAAACATATTCTTTACTAACCACTGATTTGGCCTCCACATTTCTTAGTTTAACTCATAAACCTGAGACTTATATAATAATGAGGGAGAATCTTGTAATTTTATTTTTTATTCAGTTCCTTATAGCTAATAATTGTTTTAGTTTTTGGCATAGCAAACAGTACTCTTTCCTCCCTATATTTAAATTATATTTAAAAAAACATATTATCTCATGCAAACTCCTTACCTGTGTTTCAGTTAGCACTTCAATATCATATATGTGGAAAAATTCCTGGGATCTTAGAAAAATCTGTTCTGCCTGAGAATCCATTGACTGCAAAAATAAGAACATGGGAAATGTAGCATAAATACATTTGTCTAAGGCAGACAGGTGACCTCAAGGTAAAAGCAAATAAAGCTATAAGTAATGGATCCAGATCCCTGGCATCAGCATCTTAAAATTACAGCAGAGAGTTATTAAAATTATGGTGGTGGCTGTGCTCTCCTTTGAGCATAGATGTTCATACATAGCACTACTAACTTACCTGTTAATTTCACCTGTTCAGTTCACATAGAGATGCTGTTTAATTTATGTCACCTAAAACTGAATAAAAGGTGTATTTCTCTACCTAACTAAAGTGGAACCTAACTATAAAATAAAGAAAAAAATTTGCTATGTTATTAAAAAAACAGGCAAATTTTGAAATATTAATTGTGCCAGTAACCTAAAATTGTCTGGAATTCCTTCTGAAAAATAGCAGTGCATTTCCTGGCATATGAGGTTGCCCAGGCAGTAGAGATGAGCTTGGTTTAGTCAATGTAATTTATTAATTTGGGCATGTGTCCATATAAGAGCGCCAATATCACCAGAATTTCATTTACTGATAGAGATGAGTTCAGAGGATGCCCAAGTTCATCTCTGCTTACACTGTTCAACAGGTAAAAATATTGGGCATAAAATTAGCTAATCTTACATAATTTTGGGGTGCTGAAAACGAAAATGACCCTAAAAAAATGTTGATTGGCTCTAGTTTCCATGATATATTCACCCATCTAATGACGTAATCCATTCAAAATTATGATGCAACTTCAGCTGCATATTGCGCAATTGATACTGGTGACCAATAGAAAATTGCATGTATACTGAGATGATGCAATATTAGCCTTTAATTGCATCACTTCACTGCATAAAAGCTGCAGTATCTGTAGCTGATTGTAGTTCGACAGCGTCTTTACATTTCGTTTTATGCTTATATAGGCTACTCAGTAATGCCTCGAACTTGTGTGAATAAAGCAGATAATTTCTGCTATATCTGCGGTGAAATAACTTTTATCTCACAAAAAAGGAGGATAACAGGAATGATTAAGAAAGCCTACAACTTGTATTTTGGCTGCAAGATAGGAGACCAGGACAAGAGCTGGGCACCACATATATGCTGCAATTCTTGTGGGACGGCACTGGAGCAATGGTTGAATGGAAAAAAGGCATCTATGCCTTTCGCTGTGCCAATGATTGGAGAGAGCCAACAGATCATGTTAGTAATTGTTACTTTTGTATGGTGCCTCCAATTGTAAAAGGGCTAAATAAGAAGAAAAAGTTATCTGTGCACTATCCAAATATTCCATCGGCAATACGTCCAGTTCCTCATGGAGAGGGGCTACCAATTCCTAAAGCACCAGAATCCTTCGTGGTTGAGTCAAGTGAGGAAGAACCTGAAGCGTGTAGTCACGTGCAGTTGTAAGAGATAGCCCTTTCCTCGAATACAAGAGAAAAGCCAAGAGAAGCAAAACCGACACAAACTGAAGACAAAACTAGTGAGAATCCTAAGTATTAAAATGATTCAACTTAGCTTATGGCTATAATTTTTCTTGGTAATCCTATGCAATATATTATGCCATTTAGGCTTTGTTATGTAGTCAATATCACTTGCTTTATATTTGTGGAAAGACATCTATCTATATAATTATTGTGCATTATGTAGTCATTACGCCTATAGTAGAAAACTTTCCGTTTACAGAAAAACTAGAGCCAATTGACAAATTTCATTGTTATATTTGAACTCAGAATGTGAAATTCATTAAGAAATGGATCCTTTTGTTTCCAAAACTGGCAAAAAATAAAAATTTGTTGAACAGTGTTATCAAAGAAGCATCAGTTTGCCATAAGACTTTAAATGAGGCGCAACACACACAGCCACTAGGTACGTATTATACAGATTTATTGATGAATAAATACAACTACACTACATGGAAAATAGATTTAAAAAATTGTCAAGTTGATTCATAATGATTCCATAATACATTTCATACAGGATAAAAATATTCCAAGTATCAATACATAATAAAGTTGAAAATTGCGTCCAATAAACTAAACGCGTTTCCCTCCTGCATAAAATAGAATAGAATCCCTCCTGCAGCACTATTGTGTTCTGCCAGCAGGGAGCCTATCCTGCTGGCAGAACACAATGATCACTACTGATCATTGTGTTCTACCGGCAGGGAAGTCTCCCTACTGGCAGAACACAGTAGTGCTGCAGGAGGGATTTCAGCATCAACTGTGACTGTGTTAATGGGGGAATCAAGCAGAAAATCTATTCAGTACTTCAGCCACTACTGCTTCCAACTGCTATTTTTAGGAGATCTGGATTGAGATTAAGTGATGCCACCACTGTGCAGCTCTCTGGTCTCATTGCTGGAGGGCCTGACTTGAGAAAGCAAAGTGTTGCTTTTACAAATATGGCAGCCATCACACAGAGACTCAGCGCAGTAAAAGGCATAATAAGTTGGTATGTGGAAAGCTCAGCTGTAGGGAGACCACAAGCAATAGTGTTGACCAGTCATTTGTGCTCTGCCTGCCTTTTTTGGTCACAGCTTCCATCTTCATTTTATTGGCTCTTCCCTTTTATACATACACATTTTAATGGTTATTGAGGTTGACACATGTCATGCTGGCATTGGACATACGTACTTTGCTTAGCTTGGACCGATCATATGGCAGATACTTCTCTGAAGTACACATTACAATCCTATCTGAGAATCCCTCCTGTCTTAATGTTTCTGCACACACTAATCCAGCCGGCCCTGGAAAGTAAAACACATTTTGTAAGCACATATTCACCCTTACTGATGCTAACATAGGAGCCATCCTAAATATTATTTTACCTGCTCCAATTATGAGAATATTAGTAATTGCTGTACTATAATTACTCAGCGCAATACATTTAGCCATAACTTTGGTCCTTCTTTGTGACTGTAAAGCCTTGAAGAAGCAAGCAAAAAAATAAATAAATTCACAGATTGTTAAAAAAAAAAAAAAGAAAAAGTGTACAACATTAAAGACCTATGTATTATAGAACTATAAACAGCATAGGCTTTATATGACAGCCATGGTCAGGGCTTGGAATAAGGCTCTGTTAGGAGGGTACCCATATTTCTATAGCACAAGTATTGTTATAACATATGTTTGTGTCAGTGTCATCTGCAGTTATTATTTGCAAGTATCATTGTTTCACTAGTTTTTTCTGCAATTATTGCACCCATAAATAAACTAGAAGAACACTTATCAGATTCAAAAAGCAGTATAAATAAGTGTAAAAGATACAGGGTGCCCTTTACTTGCAATTAGCCTAGGCACTATACAAAAATGAGCATTATCAGAGACCAGTGCATTTGTTCCAACTACCTCTGTTTAGAGTTGGGTCCCTATATGCCCCCCTGGATGCAGAAATAGTGTAGGGAGGTCTCAGATTCATTGGGCACTTTCTAGGGGCATTTGGCATAGATAGGCTCTTGCTATCCTAGAGAATGTATAGGTAGCTGTAACCCTCACATAATCTGTAGTGTGACCTGTTTAGCTTTGGATATACTACAAATAACTGTTGTATATGTGTATAAGTAAGAAGTGCCCTTTCAATACATAATTGTGACATAAATATCTATCAGGCATAACCTTAATTCAGTTGTTTTTGAGTAGTTTCTTCTTGAAATTACATGTTTATGGGTTTTCAAAAACAATGGCAAACTGAATGTTATTAAAGATTGTGATAAAAAAAACACCTGCGCTATGTGTAAAGTATCCCCAAAAGCCAAAAATAAAAGAAAATGAAGGACAAATACTTGCTGTGTGTTGACCTATGCAAACTCCGTTGTTGCTCGAAAGTGCAAACCCTAGTGCACTATAGTGACCAAATTCTGAATTCAAAAGAGCAGTGCTATCATCATTACTAGTGGTTCGTCAAATACTGCAACTGTGGTATAATAAGTTTATCAATGTAAATAATTAAATAAAGACAAATACTGTATATAAACCCAAATCACATATTAAATATTCACGTTTGTCATATGGCACTTTATGGATTAATTTCAGCACTTTACACACATATATATATATATATATATATATATATATATATATATATATACATAAATATATATATATATATGTTTTGATTGCACAGTCGGCACTTTTCGCAAGGCACTGTATGAATATTTTATATGTGATTTCAGTTTATATATTGGGTTTGATTTGCTGATTTATATTTATTTCATTGTTTATATTGATATACTTATACTGCAGTTGCACTTTAGTATTTGATGAACCACCAGTAATAATGATAGCACTGTTCTTTTGAATTCATAATTTGGTCACTAAACTGAATGTTGTTCCAGAAAAATGGAAAACACTGCAATATGGGGCACCAGATTGGAGACCATGTATGCCATGTATAATATAGACCGGAATTATATAGGTTAAAGTTTTTGGTTATATTTAAGAATGTCACTTACCTGTTTACTGGCACGGATGTATACTCTTTCCTTCTCTATTTTAACCTATATACCATAATAATATGAATTGTTAATATATCAATGTAAAATTAGGATGTGCATGTTTTTATTAAGGCTTCAAACATAATGCGTTATAATTTCTATCAATAATTTCTATATTTCCAAAAACATAATCAAGACCTTGACCATTTGTTGTGTGTGTGTGTGTGTGTGTGTGTGTGAGAGACCACTTTAAAATTCACATGCTCTGCTGTAGTTTTATTCATGAACAACTTGTCCACACATTTTTCAACACAGCATCATCATACTAAACTGCCATTGTTTTATTGGGTGCATATAATAGATGCCTGAAACCAGTCTCAAGGGACTCTTCATTTGGCTTTTATCTTGTAAAGCAGCAAGTCGCTCTTATCTTTTACTTAACTTATTTATGTTGAGGTAAATTCATCTAATTTATTGAACATCCAACAGCCAATACATTTGAGGATATATTTAATTTGTATCAAGAGATCATAAAGATTGTATCTTTATAATATGTTTATACTATTAACTTAATTATACATTACATTTTTGTCGTCTTTTCACTAAGACTGCAGTGACTGCATATTTCAATAACATTAACATTACGATTGAATACTTGGCTGGTACAAAAGAGATTGGAAGTATTGATCCATTTCTGTTCTAGTCCCTCTGGGTTTATTTGCACTTCTGTTGTCAGCATGTACTTAGCATGATAAAATTAGTGGCTTGTTTAACACAACAACAAAAAAAAGGCCACTGATAGGCAGGTAAGTACCAACAGCTATTGTACACAAATGTCTATTTGAACTGTTAATTGTAGTTTCAATTTAATAGTAATTGTGTCATTATTTACATTAATACACATCACCCTAAAATAATCTGCTGAACATAATTAATGACATCATGTTTTTTTAGAACTTGCCTGAAATTTTGGCAAACCATCTAATCCTGGGAAATCTTCTATATCACCTGTCGCAATATTGAAAACATGCTCCATGCCATGGACAGCGCACTCTTCCTCTAGAAAGCACACCTGTGCAAGGAAAATCACTTTATAGTAATCATAGGAACATAACAAATTATACTGGCACTGATTTGAAAAATACAGTGAGAATGTTGGAAGTTCTTTGTGTCAAGGGAGGGGCTGTATATACAGCAAGTTCATTACTCATTCCTCCCGGCTTCTGGAACCCTTAAAGGGCCAGGAGGCGCCAGCGCCAAGAGGTTAAAAAAGCACAACTGTTCTCGACAACCTTAGCGTATGTCGGCTTGTAATTCTCAATGAACATCCCATAGGGCAAGCAGATATACTGACAGGTCAGAAGGAGACCTGCATGTCACTAGAGATCTGCTGATCACTGGTGCAACACTTTGCAGGCTCTTGCAACCAAAAATAATAAATGCATATTTTTTTACACGCACAAAAATGTGTATGTATTATTTTTGGTCAAAAGGTGAACTTATCCTTTAAGGGACAGATGTAGCACCTGAGTGCCTGCTCCTGTTGCAATGTTACTTTACTTTGTGTAACCCTTTGATAATTTTGTCTGAAGGCTGCTAATGACACCAATCACTGGCAAATATTGTCATGTTGGAAAAGTTTCTGTGGCAGTGTTTTTGCACACATTGGGGTTGATTTACTAAAACTGGAGAGTGCAAAATATGGTGCATTTCTGCATAGAAACCAATCAGCTTCCAGGTTTTTTTGTCAAAGTTTAATTGAATAAACTCAAGTTGGAAGCTGATTGGCTACCATGCAAAGCTACACCAGATTTTGCACTCTCCAGTTTTAGTAAATCAACCCCATAGAGTTTAATTTTTGAAATGATCTTCTATACTAACCACACAAATTTAAAACGTAGATAGAGACAGAAGGATACAACAAGGCTCTGTTCTTTTTAAATGCCCAAGTGAAACTGTGCAGGGCAATAAAAACACAGGATTTTGCCTTGAATGTGATTGGTTGAGTTAAGAAACAACATTTACTTTGCTAGGTGAACATTCTCTGCTCTTTTTGTATTTTAAACCCACTGAGTATACAAATATTTTCATGAAAAAAACAGAGTTTATTGATAATTAATGTGATTTTACTATTGGGTTAGTTGACAGACTTACTCAGTACACTGGTATGCTCTCATATGGTACCAAAACAAAATTACTTTTTGTGAGTCCTATTTATTTTTTAATATCATGAAATATCAACTAACAGCAGACTTGAAAGATACCAACCTTTCACTAATGGTGCTCCATAATGAGGGCATTTGTGTCCCATTGCATAGTACTCTCCATTTTGCTTAATGAGCAAAGCTTTGCCACATCCTAAATCAACCTCCCGCATTCTAGAGGTAAATATGAAGTAGCAGTTACTATATGAGTAGATTATTATGGATTATTGTAAATTGTAACATTGAATAGTTTTACAGGTCTGTCTCATATTACTTGCAGCTGGCACACAAGCATTAGTGGACATGGTCACTGACCAACTCTATCTAACTGTAACTGCATATGTCAAAATTGTTTTGTTTAAAGAACATGTACTTCCTGTAGCAATGTTCCATGTTTAACATATGTGATGAATGCAGGTGTCAATACAATTTGTTTTATTGCCTTCTAGAAAAAAAATTAGCTCAGTATAGCTTAAAATTTCTAACAATTAGAAATTAACTCACTTTAGGCTACATTCACATGGCCATAAAAAAAAATGCATTTACAAGCATTTTTTTTATTTAGGGATCTGAACGCAACTACATTGTTTTCAATGAAGACATTTGCACAGGTGCAGTGTTCAGGTCGATAACAAAAAATCTAGAAACCCGCATCTGAGCACATACGTATATACATATACCAGTAATAACAGAACGAGTAAGCGAGCGCTAAAATAATTTCAAATGTATAAGCAGCTGTACACCAAAAAAAGGTACCCATAAACCTTCTAAAACACATATACAAAGAGGGGGTGCAGCGCTACTAAACTCAACAATGACAAAAATGCATATATGAAGTGACAAGGTGCAAATACAGAGGCCATTAGATGGTGGTCAAAGGTGCTAAAGGGTGTTGACTCCGTTAAAAGTCCAGAGAGAAGAAGTGCTGATGAGATTTCAGATGATCTCAGGGTGTCCATTGATATGGATCGTGGATCTTGGTGATAAATAATGAGATTGCGCACTCACCAGATACGCAATTCAAATGCGCATAAATAGTAGTAAGCCTCTGGTCATCCAGATGTCATCCAAATAGGTCTGGTCAGATCAGGTCAGATTGATCCTCATTCCCTGGTGGTGTTATCACTCATGGGGGATCCCCACTCAATGGATACAGCCTGCTCCCTGGGGTCCCCTCACAAAGAATATGGCTGGTTCTTGCCCAGGGACTTAGGGTTGATTCACACCACAGAAATACAGGCAGGATTAGTGGTTAGAACTGCTGCCTCACAATGTTAGGGTTGTCTGTTTGAATCCCAACCACGGCAATGAATCTGCATGATCTCCGTGTGACTACCCTAATATACATGTGCTGCTGGCAGCATCTTTGCTTTCTGTCTAAATGACCCCCTCAAATGCAAAATGTATTCTGGTATTGAAAAAAACAATAGGACAATTTTATGCATTTAAAAAATGGATCTTAAAAAAGTATCATTTATACAGACCAAGTGAATGTAACCTACTTCACAGTTTGTTGTTTTGTAAATTAGACTCCTTTTCTTTGTAGCCACTACGCACAGAGCTTTATTTGTTTATTTATTTATTTATGTATGTATGTATGTATGTGTAGCACCCTCCTAGTTATGTGCTAGGATGTATATAGCTGTGTTTCTCTGCTTACCAGAGAGGCTGTCAAGTAAATTCAGTATGGTGTTCTGCTTAACAGAGTGCTGTGACTGACGAGTTAGGTCTGCTCATACTGCTCTGGTGCTGTTGGAGTTTGTCTGAGATCTGCCCACCTTCAGGAAGCTATGACAGCCTTCCAGAACATGGATAGGGGCGAGGCAAATGTACCGCATGAATATGGATAAACCCTGGTCAATTGCAGTGGAGGGTTTCCCTATTGAATGCTGGGAGCGGGAGTTATATTCTGAAAGCACATGGGTTCAGAGTCTTTCCCGGGAGTGGATTAAACCAGCCAGGCTGGAGGCAGGCTGCCTAACCTGGAACTTGCTGCCATGTGGCCTCAGGTGGGTCAACCTGAGGGACAGAAGTTAGGGAGAGTGACCCTGGTCCTTCAGTAAGCTGATTGAAGGGAGCTGTCTGCCATAGATCTGTCTGGTATCACTGGAGAGAGTCGCTTGGAAAATTGGAAGAAGGCAACAATTCTGTCCTTGACTTGTGAGTACAGACTCTGAGAGATCTTGTGCTTCTCTGGTGCTTGATAGACAGCATGGGTCTGAGAAAGGGAACACTGGCTAGTGTTCTGAAGAGCTTGTCTGTTGCTTCTGAAAAAGAACTTTGCTCAGCTACCTTGCCTTTGGGCTGTCACAGTCTGTCATAGCTGGCTTATACCTGAGGAGCTCAGCCCTGTATTAACTACTACTGCGAAAGGGACCTTGCTCACTCCTAAAACTACTTGCTGCTGTATTTTACAGAAGTCTGCTATCTACTGTCAGACAAGACTTCGTAACTGCTCAACTAAAAGATCAGCTCAGTCCTCAGTGTGAATAGTTCTGATTTGAAGTATCCTAATAAATCTCCCCACCCCTATCCCCAATTCTACAATAAAACTCCAAAACAAAAACATCCCCTAGATTGGTCATTAAAGGTAACGAGCGGACGTGTGCGTGAGTGTGTTGGGCTGAAGAAATACACTGTGCCTGACTGCAAGGTGAAGCAAGGGGAGCCCATGGAAAACATACAAGTGGCTCCTTCAGGGGTAGCGCTACATATGATACATGCAGCACCTGGCACAAGTACTGAGAACTTCTAGTTCAGATACTGTCAAATGCCTGGTTAGGTGTTGTGGAGTACTTCATTTGAGCTTATTGTCCTTCTGCCTGCCAATACGTGCCACTTCGAGGCTTCTTGGTGTAGTTTAAGTGTATCCAGGTGATCAGAAGATTGGCCGAGTTTTGACGCCTGCCTTCATTATGCAATCATTGGTATACAGTATGTAGTAAAATATGTATAAAAGCCCTGAAGAAAAACAATCATTAAATAAAAACCACTATGTTATTCAAACATGAATTCTAGCAATATAAATGAATAATGTATAGTAATAATGATTATCATATAAAATATTTTCACAAAATTAACTGACAAACAATACCAAAGTAATGATTATTATTAAACTGGGAAGTGGGTGGAAAGCAGTTATGTTTATAAAGCTGATATAATACTGCCAAGTACAGAATAACACATTAGAACATACTGTCCATTCTCTAGGTCCTTTACATGGCAAACTGAGGCTTCCACCATGTCTTTGGGATTGGTGTAAGGATTAAGAACAATGGGTCTTTCTTCATGGTGATAATGTCGAGTTGTCCCATTTGCTTTGTATGCTAGAGGACTGGCCTTCCCATTGGGTGATAATTCTTCTTTTTCCCTTTCTTTCTCTGGTAGAACAACTTCGACTTTGACTTCCACTGCAAAAACCACATGCAACACTTTTAATTTGTGCTTTGCAAATATTATACCATACAAAAAAAAGTTTTAAAATAATTTCAATATGAGGAACAATTTAATAACACATATACCAAGGACTGTAGATTAACAAATACACAAAAAAAACAATGTTCACAGCAGAAGCAGGATGCCAGTTAACCTTACACTTCTGTATGCCCATGACATAGTTTATTATGTTCTCCCAAGGAACAAACAAGGATATTAAAAAAAGCACATATTCTATTCTATTCTGATAACTACATGTGGTTTCTACATATTGCGGTTGATTTACTAAAACTGGAGAGTGAAGAATTTGGTGCAGCTCTGCATAGAAACCGATCAGCTTCCAGGTTTTTTGTTTGTCAAAGCATAATTGAACAAGCTGAAGTTAGAAGTTGATTGGCTACCATGCACAGCTGTACCAGATTTTGCACTCTCCAGTTTTCGTAAAGCAACCCCATAATGTTAATATTTCATCATAACATTTATGTTTTATTTCAAAAACTTTATGTACATTTTTTCATGTTATAATGCAGACCAAGCTGTTCATAAAAATTTCAGTAACAGAGGTTTGTTAAAACTATAATACTGCCAGGGATGTTTAAATAGCTGTGGCAACAGCTTCTGTTAAATAAAAAAGCACTCTGTGCTTTGGCAGTGTTATAGTTGTTTCAGCATGTGGTACTGTCACCTTTGCAGAACAGCTTGCCTGTAGGACGATATATAGAAAATTTAAAAAAAAAGAAATAAATTTAAAAAAATTAATTCCTATGCCAAATACTATCATTACATGTACTATCCCCATTCATGATCAGAATAGTATATTTTGCTATGGTGGAACATTAACCCATCATTTTTGTAGTCTTTTTCTTTTCACGTGTAGGCCCGAAGATTACTTAAAACCCTAAAACATTATATGGCGTCTGAAAATAAAGACCCACAACTGTGTAATAAACCCATATTTTCAGTAAAACTTACATTCAAATTAATTTTAATGCACACAAAGACACTACAATCCAAAACTTATTCGTAAAATATAAAAGATGAGGCTGTGTTATGTCAAGGCTTACCTGCCACAATCTGTAGAAGTGACAGAATCACTGATACTAAAAAGCCAAGTGAGAAAAGGTAAACAAACTCTCAGCTGCTATAGCAGCCAGGAGCCTGTTTACAGGTCAGTGCTGCTGCTGTTGATGTATGCCTAACTCTGGTGGCCAGAATTAATGCAGCTCTGTAGAGAAAGAAATTAAAGTGAGCTTGTGCCCAGATCATGCACACTAAAGTGTTTCCATATCCTGAACAAGCAGTAAAAGCACTTTAAAACCAGCCCTCAGTTATCTCTGTATCTATAGGCATTGTGAAGAAATGAAAGTCCAATTTCATGCACTAGAAAAAAAATCTTGTAGTGGGGCCTCCCTATACTGCAATGGCTAAAGGCTCACCAGGTCTAGAGGTTGACAAAGAAGCTGTAATATTTACCTTAATCATCACTCCAGCAGCCTTCCTGCACACTGTCCCCTGCAACCTCTTCTCTAAAGTCTTCTGGCCAGTTGTTGCATGCTCACATCATAACATACATTGCAGAACCAATAATCCTGCAAGGTATTTGAGGATGGCAATGGCCCATCCACAGCCCAAACAGCCAGAGAGAAGAGCAGAATACCAGCAGTCTGGGAATCAATGAATAAGGTAAGCTTGACAGCCTTTTCCTTTACCAACTATACTTAAGGAACATTTAACCCTTGCAGTGCATGGGGGGGAAGGACAGCAAGTGTGAAATCTGTATAAACCACCTGAAATCTGACTTTGAAATCTTTATTGTGAACTTTAAAGAACTTATAGAAATAATAGCTTCATATTACAAGCAACTAGACAGGTCAGAGATGACATGTTAAAACTCTTCTACTGCTTGGTAAAAATTTGTAAATATTTTAACCCCTTGCCGCCGACACATATATGCGGCCTCACTGAAGTGGGTCTTCTTGTGAGGATATATGTGTTTGTGCTGGGAGAACACAGAGCTCATGGTGCGCTCCCAGCACAGAGACTGGGTGCACACCAAGAGCCTTGGGTCTTGTACTAACAATCAGGAACACAGAGCCCCAGTTCCTGATCACCTGATTGCTTTGATATCCTCTGGTTGGGTCACTGTTCTGCTCGCCCTGTTTTTTTTTTTTTTTCTCCTCTGAATGAGGAGAAAGATGCATCTTTTTTCCTTGCTAGAAAAAAAAGGCTTGAGAAAAATAATTTAATAATAAAGAAAAAAAAATGGCTAGATCAGTGTTTCATCTTAGTCAGTATCAAGGTTGGGGTTGATGTCAGAGTCAAAGGTCAGGGTCAAAGTTTGGGGTCAATGGTCAGGGTCAGTGTATTTTCGGTAAGATAAAAGAAAAAAAAAAATTAGTGTCAGGGTCAGTGTTTTTTAAGTAGGATAAAAAAAAAGCAAAATGCACACTATTGTTTCTGGGCCATACTATGGGTACAAATAACAAATGACATACACATTATCATTAATCATCGTTATTATTACCATTTATCACTAAAGGAAAGCCAAACTTGTCCTGAAAAAAAATTGTATAATCCACCTGGATATGTGATATGTACAGTTTTACCAACACATTTGAATACTTGTATGTACCATAAATTGTCTGTTCCTACTTGTACAGTACCACTGGCCCCCTTTATCTACTACTGGATCCATTTAAATATTCATATCTATGCCAGATATCTAAAAAAGTTGTATATGAGTACCACAAAGATTTAGCATTACTTTGCATGATGACTTTCTGTCAGTATAGGGTTGCTATGAAGCAGAACTCCAGTTAAAATTCACCAATCAGGCTGAAACCTGCTATGGAAAATGACCATTTTTGTACAACAAATGCTTCTAGTACTTTATTATAACACATAATATGTGTGTAGAGATGTGCTGGTTGCTTTAAATCTTAAACAGCAGTTGCAAAGCATTTTTTTTTCTTTTCTCTCTTTGTGAGTGAGAGACAGGAAAAGCAGGACTGTGTTCTAATTGGTTGTTGCTACAGCTGAAAAGGATCCAACCATAGCAGCACTGTTGCAGCTGGACTTATGATTGGCTGTGGAGGAAAGGAGAGAGGAAAAAAAGAAAGAAGCACATGTGGGGAGGCAGACATTTTCAGGGGACCGCATGGAGCAAGGGCTCCTGGTGTAAAAGTCACAGAGTCTCACTCTCTGTGCTGCTAGAGCCCATGGGCTGGGCTGGGAGTGTGTAGCAGAGGAATTGTTGCAGGAGGACAGTGTGCAAATCAAGGATTGTCCTGTCTGACACTCAGGATTACAGCCACTCAAGTGCATGTGTCTCTCAAAGTCTGGAGCTGCTGAAAGAGAGGAAGCTGCTGAAAGAGAGGATTTCGACTACTGTCTAATGCTATCTAGAGGACAATCCAGAAACAGTGAGTACTCTGTGATGAAAGGGGATTTTGATATTGCTGCACTTGCTGTTCATCTCTGGAGAATGGTCATGAGAAAGCCTGCTCTCTAATTCTCAGAGTGATAAAGATCTTGGAAAGCCCAAGCTGCTCAGAATTAGCTATTCCTGATGCTGATTGATGAGAGAACTCTGTCACTGTATATTATTGGATTGTCTCCTCAAAACTTGTGCTGTGGCTGAAGAGTGTGTTTAGTTCCAAGTCCTCACAGAAGCTTGCTGCTTTGAATATACTGAACAAGTGTCAGTATATCAGGATTTCACCTGTATGGTAAAGATTTATTGAAGTGTTTTCTTCTATTGCAATGTTCACTGGAAGATTCTGCTTAAAGGAGACTGTGCTATCATGCTACCCCTGGATTACAAATACTCTCCCATGCAGAGAGTGAGCGCTCTTCCATTGATTAAAGGGCCCCAACGTTGAGAGACTTTAAGTTTCATCTCACTGGCCAGTGGTTAGGTAGGACATTTCTGCTCTAGATTCATACTGCTATAGCAAATGTCAATAAGCTGCTAAATCTCATTAACAGTTATTGTTTCATGTGTCAATGTCACTCTCATATGTCACCCTAGTCAGTGTGATACGAGTCAGTTTTTGGAGAATTTGGCGAGTGAATTGTGACTTCTTACTGTGTTATGCAAAGTGGTATCTGTGTTTTATGTACATTACCTGTGTTAAAATCAGCTAGTTCTTTTTCAGGGTTTGTCTTCTTCGAGAAAACCCATAAAAAATATTCTCAGAGTGTCGAAGTGTTCTGGGTATAATCGGAGGTGTCCCCAGATTCAGGTGGGAGCTGAACCTATATATCTAGCCAAGCATCACCCAAGGGTGTGCTACATGTGTATATATCATGTTTAAGAATAACTACAAAAGCTTGGACTATAAAGACATCTAGGAAAGTTCTACATATGTGTAGCATCCTCCTAGTTAGCTAGGGTGAGCTCTAGTTCAATCGTTAGCTAGGAGGGCTGAGTAGCAGCCCGGGTGTGATAACTAGCTGGGGCAAATTTGGGTCAGAGTTGAGAGGCTCTGCAGACCAGTCCTCTGGAATTTCCCCCTGTTCTAGAATTTTGGAGAAAGGCCTAGAAGCAGTGGGCAGATTTGAGGAGTGGCTGGTCTGTACTCTTAGAGGACCCTGGCAAATCCCCAACAGGAGGCTTGGCAAGGGACCAGGACAGCCTTTAAGAGTAACTGAGCCTGCTCAGCTACAGGGGAGTTGTTGGAGGAGAAGAGAGGATGTGCGACTGGAGGCAGGAGCCTGTGAGGGGGCTCAGAGGGAGAGGGGCTCACCTACAGGTAGAGGATCGTGGAAGGAGCAAACCTCAGGAATTCACCAGCCCTCTGAGAGGGGATCACCTGTGTGGCATAGAAGGAGCGGCCCAGCTAAAAATCCTGGTAGCAGCCACTGACCAACCAGCAGCACAGGAGAAGGACTGAGTGAGTAGACCTGCACCCCCTGGGCCAGATAGGGGAAGGTGCACTCTGGTGGGAAACCATATTAGCCACCACCTAGGATTGTCTTATTTCTTAAAGAGACAGGCACTGGATCCCCTGCTTAGGGATTCATCCAGGCAGCCATGGGGTGGTACTACAAGAGATGCTGGTTAGCTCTACACAAAGAGGATTTTTTGTGTAAAGACTTGTACATAGTTGAGGAAGTTGTTCTCGATTTCTCCATACCATTGGACATTACATACGCCCCTTACCCCAAGTTCTAAAATCCCCTACGAAAACATCAAAAACAAGCTCAAGGACTGATTACTGATTACTGACTCCTGGATGCAAGTCTGTTAAAATGCGTGTTGCCTGGCTGTGCAGGACTATAGGGGGGACCCAAAACTTCAGCAATTCCTAAGGGGGTAATGCTACATATGGCTTAAGATATTGAATATATTTTACATAAATGTAGCAAAGGGAAATCTGACTTTTGCTCAAAAAACCCAACCAAGCTTCATTGCCTTTTACATGCAGGGGAAATTGAACATGCAATCTAATTGCTTTATGTTGGCAGTTTTTAAGATCCAGTTTTTTTAAATCGGCCTTTAGGCTCTAGAGCAGATGCAAACATATTAAATAATTTCTTCTGGAAACTCTAAAACACTTTAACTGTATTTTCAAATAAATAATTGCTTTTTTTGTATTTATAATGAACAGTCAAAAATCCTCACTTCTTAAACTATCCCCTGCTGTTACAAGAATGAAGGGATTTGGAATTATTTTCATTATTCTGGCATAGGCTTGCTGGGTACAAACTATATTAGACCAAGCTTATTATAGTAAGCATTCTGTGCTCATTTCAACTGAATGTTCTGTACGTGAAAGAAACTGAAGTGTAATTTTCCTTGGATTAATTGTAACCCAGAGCGTTCTTTAATCCTCCCTGCAAGAGTGCAGAATTAACATTCCTTCCAGCAGTCACCCCTGCAGAGTTTTTAAGTCTGACCCAGTTTGTTGTGTGTAGCAGTATGACATATAACATGCAATGTAATATTAATGGGTTCTTACCTGGCTTGGGTTTGGAGAAGCATCCCCCCATGATGGTTTAAGTACAAAAAAAAACTATGAAAAACACAAACCATGCAATGGTCCCCCAAAGACAGACGTTAGGTGGGATTCTAAGCCATATTTAGGTTGGGTAGATACTATAAGAGCCTGAAACTTAAAGTAGAGACAAAATGTGTCCAAATGGTTGACAGAATCTTTTTCTTCATGTTGTGAGGTATCCTCATAGCCTGTGTAAGATACAAGACTTTTGTTAAAAAGATGTACATTCAAACCTTTTTATACCACACAACACCAACAGAAAACCATCACTGCTTCTAAAATGATCAAAGATGAAATCAACAGTGAGGTCAGTATATTGACCAGTGACCAGAATATGATTTACCATTTAACAATTTTAAATATTAAAACAAAGGGAGTGCTGGAAGCTCAGTACGAATGGGTCAGAGGGTGGACCACCAAAAGACTCTGTATGGGCAACATGACATGATCCCTTTAAATAAATGTTAATTCATAAGTAATTTTCACTAAATATATTCTGTATTTTATCAATGAGCTTGATATGGTTTTAGATTAAGTAACACAGAGCAGAGAAGCAGTATAATAGTATGGTAAAATGTTACATGGACATGATTCTTGTAGCCAACTTAAGCGGGTGTCATACTTAATCAAAACAACCAGACCCCCTTTCACTTGTCATACACATCCATTATTTAGTACTGGTTTCTTGTACACAGCAAATAATCATTACTTGAATAAAGAACCTATTTTCTAGAAAATCTAATTGATGTTTGTTCTTGCTATATGTCCTTATTGATTCCTCTGTTTATAGCTCAAATTATGGTGCTCCTGAAAGAAGGGAGGAAATTACTATAGTGGCCAGTAAGATTCCAGCACATTTCATAGCGCATGTTAATTTTAGTCACTCTTATCACATATATTTCTTTGATTTTTCAAGGGTTGTAATATTAGACATGAGCAGAATAAAAAAATGTGTTTAGTTTCGGATTGATTAGTTAACTAATTAATTTTGTTGCATTCGTAACGAAATTAGTTTCATTTAGTTTCAATCAATTTTTTAATAGATTCAGAGTATACAAATCAAACTGAAAATCGTTTCAATCCAAATTCATTGCGAAGATTAGTTGATTGTTAAGGAGTGGTCGGCCAGCTGGCCGCAGCGTCCTTAACAACCATGACTCATCTGCTATCAGCGGGATTGCCCTTTGACTGTAGAATGTAAACAAACAAGTGCCGGTTTTAAAAATCCATAAAGAAGAGAATTTGAGCTAGTAGAGAGGATTTGAGGGGTTTGTGATAGAAAAGGTGATACGGTAGGGAGGGTGAAGGGATTTGTGCTAGGAGGGGACTTTTTTGGGTGGCTGATTTGTAGTAGCAGGGATAATTGGGGGTGTATTTGTGCTAGAAGGGGAAATTTGGGGGGGGTAAGGAAATTTGTTCTGGGGCATATGGGTAGAAAGATGATTTGAGCTGGGGGGATGGGGGGGCAAAAATTTGTGCTGGGAGGGGGGATTTCAGTAGGGAGCGGACTTGCTTAGGTGGTAAGCATGCAGATTAGTGCTTACTTTTTTTGAGGGGGGGGATTTTTGCTGACACATAATGCTCATACATCTTGGGGGGGGCGCAATTTGGCATGTTTGCCCCGAGGCTCTAGATGGCCTTGTCCTGGCACTGGTGGAGTCTATTTGTCTTTCAAAATGAGAGCAAGGATTGGTTGAGGTTCAGATTGTGGTTGTATTCTAGCCACAGGGACCATACTTTCAGGAATTTAAGGTGTGTGTTGTTTAGTATAGAAGTAAGTTTCTCTAGGATCCTTGTGCCCATAATTTATTGCTTTACCTCCATTTGATTCAGAAAAGGTTGTCCTCAAGTTTTAGCTATAGTTAGATGTGTAGCTAGAAAAATGAACATTGTTAGCATTTGTCCATATTAGTCACTCTTTTTAGCATGCAGGTTTTCTCAATGAGGCCTGATCTTAAATCTAAATCTAAAAACAAAAATGTAGTATACTTTTTTTTTTTTTTTTTTTGGAGGCTGTTTACCAATTATTTTCACATGGTGGCCCTGCAAGTAATGCACTTCCTGTATAAGTGCACCAATGATCATTCAATGTGATGTTTCTATTTAGGAGAACCACTGTCATTGTCTGTAGGAGACAAAGTGTGTTAATACCTCCCCCTCTCTTCATTTCCATAATAAAGGAGGAAGTGTTTTGGTAGTTCCCAGAGGTGAACTGGACAGGTATGACAGTACTGCTTGGGAAACATTGAAGAATACACAGGAACTTACAGACTCACAAGATTTCAGACAGGATGAACAGGTATTTTTTGAGCTTATTGAATAGATATAGCAAAACAATTCAGTGGTATACTGAAAGAGTCAAAATGGAGCAAATAAGAATAGTTCATTGTTAGGGTTTACATACACATTAAATAGTACTATATATAGCTGGTCCAAAAAAATATTATAACCCATCGTTCTAGGTGACAGGTCTGCTCATCAATGGTTACCCTAAGGCAGGCCATACATGATTAACATTCTCTCCTTCAACCAGCGAGTTGAACGACAGAAATTAAATTGATTTTCCCTTCCACACACTCAATGTGGCCTCCCCTGTTAGAATACACTCATCAGCATCACTGGCCATAGCTGACGGCACTGGTCGAGAAAGAATTTTGCAACAGGCTACTTGTACAGAAGTCGATCAAGAGATTGGCATCTGTACAACCAGTCTGCACATAAAATTAATAGAAAATTTGGGGTCGAATTAAGCTATATGTAGCACCCTCCTAGGTAGGTACTAGGATTTGTATAGTTAGGTTAAGCAGAGGTGTGTTTCTCTGCTTCACAGAGAGGCTGTCAGGAAAATCAAGTTGTGCTGTGATGGATTAGTTAGGTCTGCTCATGATGCTCTGGTGCTATTTGAGTTCTGCCCACCTTCAGGAAGCTATGAGAGCCTTCCAGAACCTAGGAGGGAACTAGGCAAATGAGCAGCATGAATATGGATACAGCCCTGGCCAGGGGCGGACTGACAACTCACGGGGCCCCCAGGCAATAGGGGATCATGGGGCCCCTGTGTCCTTGCCCAAACTCATAAAAGCCTATGAAAAAAGTACCAAGGGCATCTCATAGGGCCCCCTACTGACCCCGGGCCCTCGGGCAATGCCGAATTTCCAAATGGTCAGTCCGCCCCTGGCCCAGGCCAATTGCTGGGGAGGGCTGTCCCATTGCATGCTGGAAGTGGAATTTATGTTCTGGGAGCACACAGTGTCGGTGTCTTTCCTGGGAAAGGATTGAACCAAGCCAGGCTGGAGGCAGGCTTGCCTCATCTGGCACTGGCTGCCATGCGGGCCTCAGGTGGTCGAGCTGAGGACCTGAAGTTATAGAGACTGACCCTGGTTCTACAGTAGGCTGACTAAGGGGAGCTGTTTGCCAAAGCTCTTTCTGGTATCACTGAAGGGTTTCGCTTGAGAGATTGGAAGGAGACAACAATTCTGTCTTTGGGCCCTATGAGTACAGACATTGAGGAATTTGTGCTTGCTACCCCCCTGGTGCTTGATTGTCAGTGTGGGTCTTAAAAGGAAAGGGAACACCAGCTAGTGTTCTGAAGAGTTTGTCCAACTGCTGCTTTGCTCAGCTACGTTATCTCTGGGCTGTCGCAGTCGGTCATAACTGGCTTGTACCTGAGGAGCTCAGCTCTGTAACTACTACTACTGCTAAAGGGACTTTGCTCACTCCTAAACTACTTGCTGCTGCAATTTAAAGAGAAGTCTGCTACCTAATTTCAGCCAGGACTTCAACAGTGCTCAACTAAGAGATCAGCTAGATGTCCTCTGTGTGAATAGTTCTAATTTTGGAGTATCCTACTAAATTCCCAATCCCTATCACCAATTCTACAATAAAACTCCAAAAACAAACATCCCCTTGACTGGTCATTGAAGACAACGAGCAGAAGTGTGTGTGTACCTGGCTTTGAAAATACCCTGTGCCTGGCTGCGGGGTGAAGAAAGGGAGAAACCTGGGCAGAAATACAAGCAGCCCTTATGAGGATGATGCTACATATACATGAATAAAATCAGCTGGAATTGTATTGTTTCATCATCTCTTTGACAGGAAATGTCAGTACATTTTAGAAAAATGATCAGACTCCTAAAGTACCAGTTACAGCAAAGCTCCAACATTGTCTAACAAGAGTCAGCAAAACCTACCTTAACAAATGAAGGAAACGTGAATGTTAGAAGTGATGAGGAGACATGCACATTATCTGTCTTCCCTAGTACAATGGCAAGAAGCTGGGAAGTCAACATAGCATTGTTTAACTCTATAAAACGTCACCTCCCAGAGGGTTTATTTGCTACAGCAAATGGTACCAAGTATTAAAATCCTTGGCTCAGGGCCGGCAACCTTGGAACCAGGACAATATAATCCCAGCTTTAATTTTGCCTTTCTTAAAAGTGACCTGTCTGCAAGTGACCATTTTTCTAAGTATTTAGTTTTCCAATACTAATCCTCTGGGGGTTGCACAAAGACACACGTACTTATAATGGCTTTACTTGTTCTACTATGCTATTATTGTCTGAGCTGCAGATTTTCCTGTGTTCTTTTGTTGTATCTAGACACCAAGTGGACCTGTTACATTATCTAAACTTAAATCTTAGTGACTAGCATAATAATTGATGAATACAAGTATGCATTTAGGGCATTTTGAAAAATAATCGCTTCCTTAATAAACGTAAAGAAACTAGTGAGCCATGTGATAACAATGACTATTGTCCTTCAACTTTTAGTATATCAAAAATAGTTTATATGTGCCTTTTTTATGACCTCTAGTACGAGACAGCACCAGGCCACTAATTAGACTAGTTATACTAATCCTTCTGTATTAAACTGTATTCTGACTGTACTGTCTCTGTTTATATTGTAAAGTGTTGTGCAACCTGTTGGTGCTATATAAATCCTTATTATTATTATTATTATTGTTAATAATAATAATAATAATATCTTCAGAGATTA